CTGGGTTGAGGGGTGACTCAGAGAAGCATCTTAGTCAATGATATACAGAGCTGAGTGTGTAGTTGAGGAGAGGTTGGCTTGAATCCAGGGCTTTCTCTAATCTCCAAACACTGTGTGACTTGTGTCTCTGGAATTCCTTGTTAGGAAGCTGGGGGTGGACCTGAAGCTGTTTTGGGGGGAAGCAAAAAGAAAAATAACCTTCCAGAGCATCCACATATATGTCAAATATGTGTTAAAACCTAGATTACATGTAAAAAGCAATTTATAAAAAATGCTGAAGAGCAAAACACCGAAGATCTCATCTGGGCCTGTGTCTCCCAAGACCCTTCTCGATGGATGCTCATCCTCAGACTTGTCCGTCCATGCAGACACGGGTTTATGTTTAACTGAAAGGGAGGAACTGCCTTCCTTTCTCTTTTCCAGTGAGTTACCCCCACCTAGTAGTGCACTGTGAATATGTGTGGGCAGAATTCCCAAAGATTTCTCTCGTGGGCCCTTTTCTTTTTTGAGATAGGTCTCCTGCATCCTAGGCTGGCCTTGCACTCATTGTGAGGATGACGTTGAACTCTTGGTCCTCCTGCCTCCACCTCCTAAGCGCTCATCCTTGCCCACTCTTGTGGACTGTGGTTCTATGGGCATGCTCTTTTCATCATTAGCTCCTCCCTCCTCTGGGAACTCCCCCTCTTTCCTTTTCCTTTTTTCTTTCTTTTTTAAACCCGTAAGCACCCCTTGGTGCCTGTCGTATCTTCTTAGGATCACCTAGAACAGCTTTATTGGGCCCAAAACTATGTGAACATTTTTGAGAGTTTGGATACTGAGCACAAAATTGTCCTCTAGAAAGATCACCCCAGCCACATACGCCCCTACGGATCCTGTGTCCAGCACCCCGTATCTCCACCAACGCTGGCCAACATGATAGATTAACAATGTTGTCTTATTATTCACCATGTCTGTTTTTCTAGTCACTAGGAAGCCGGGCACCCCTCCCGCTGCTCTGTGGTCAGTTTCTGTTTCTCCGTTAGTGGATGCTTCAGGTCCTCTGCGATCTTTCTGATTTTCTTGCAGAAATTGTTTGTGTGAGTGATGCGGCTCTGCCGTGTGAAGCAGCCCCATCCGCCCTTCTCGACATGGCTGCTCTTTGATAGTTTGAGGTAGCTTGTTTTCTATGCATCTATATAGGTTCTTTTGTTTTCTTTAAATATAAAAGTGAGATCATCTTCAGTGCGGTGTCCTGATTTGCTTTTCCTCCACAACTCACTGAATCTGGAAGAATGTTTTACACAAACAGTGTGAACTGTCTCTTTCTTTTTGGATCACTGTGTAGGGTTTAAAAATATCTCTCTTGAGATAATGCATATGCCACAATCTCGCCCACTTAAGGTGTACAACTTAATGTTTTTGGTACATCCACGAAGTTGTGCAGCCCTTGCCACAGTGAGTGATAGAAGGTTTTGTCATTCTCAGAGACACACAGTGTCTGTTGCTTGTTGTCCCCTAGTCTTCCGGCCCTTCTTCAGCAGCTACTAATCTGCTTACTGTCCGCACAGGCACTCGTATTAGGGACACTAAACTCATAGACTGGGTCTTCTACTATGTAGCTTTTCGTGTTGTCTTTTTGCACTCACCTATAATCCTTCAAGACTCATCTATATGAGATCACAAATCAATACTTCTGTCCCTTTTATGACTGAATGCTGTCCCACTGTATTGCTATGTCACATTTTGCTTACCCATTCTCCAGGTGAACATTTGGAACTTTTAACCTTTTGGGAAGTGTAAAAAATGCTGCTGTGAGCACTGTCTACAAGTATTTAAGTCCCCATTTTCAGTTCTTTTGGGTATACACACTGGAATAGAATTTCTGGGTCAGATGGCATCTCTATGTTTAATTTTTATTATTGAAAATAGATATTTTCATATAATAACTTTTCTTTCTTGCTGCAGGTTTTTTTTTCTTTTTCTTTTTTTTNTTTAATTTTTATTATTGAAAATAGATATTTTCATATAATAACTTTTCTTTCTTGCTGCAGGTTTTTTTTTCTTTTTCTTTTTTTTTTTTACTGTATAGTCCTTGTTGGCATGGGACTTGCCATGTAGACCCCACTGGCCTTTCATTCACAGAGATCCTACTGCCTTTGCCTTCTGAGCATTGGAATTAAAGGTGTGTGCCACCTTGCTTGGCTCCATGTTTAATTTTTTTGAGGGATTAAAAGTTATTTTCCACAGTGTGTGTGTGTGTGTGTGTGTGCGCGCGCCATTTTTCACCCTACAAGCAAAACATGGGACCCCAATGTCATCGTGTTTGTATTTACCCTTCTGTCTTTCTTTATTAATAATTATAATTAAAATTTAAAATTAATAATAATAATTAATTCTTGTCAGGAAGTGATGGTGCAGAGATTTAGTCCTAGCACTCAGGAAGCAGAGGCAGGAGAATCTCTGAGTTGGAGTTAGCCTGGTCTACAGAATGAATTTCAGGATACCCAGGGTTACACAGAGAAACCACTTGAAAAACCACACAAAAAGGTATTTAATTCTTTGAGAATTTCATACAATGTATTTTGATCATATTTGCCTCTGATCCTCCCCCTCAGTCCTGCCAGATTTTCCATTCCCCATCTTTTAATTGTGGCCACTTGAGCAATGTGAGTGGAGTCTGATTGTGGTTTTACTGTTATCTGACAGTTGATAATGTGGAGTTTCATCTCCCGTGCTTACTGTCCATCTGTGTCTCTTCTAGGGTAGGGGTATGTCTGTATAGACATTTGCTTTTTTGCGTGTATGTATGTGGTGTATATTTGTATGTTTTTTGGATATGTGTATGTGGTGTAGAGCTGTGTTCACATATGTGTACACCTGCCTGTGGAGGCCCAAGGCTGATATCTGGTGTCTCCTTGATTGCTCTCCACTTTATATATAGAGGAAGGGTCTCTCATTGGAGGGTCAGAGCTTACGAGTCAACTAGTCTAGCTGGCTTCAAGGATTCCCTGTCTCTGCCTCCTGTGTCCCACAGTTACTGTAGGTCTCCACTGCCACTGGGTTTTAGGTGGGATCTGGGGATCCAAAGTCTGGTCCTCGCGCTTGCACACTGGCCCTTAACCTGCGGAGCCCTCTCCACACTCGCTCTTTCTAAATGGAGTTATTTATTATTATGATTGCGTTGTTTGTGTTCTTCTCATATTCCATGTACGATCCCTTATCAGACACATGGCTAGCAAGTGAAGTCTCCTAGTCTGGGGCTGTATTTTCACAGAGATCATGAGAACTGACATTCATTCTTATTTAAATATTTGGTGGGATGTACAGTTGGAAGCCATCTGTCCTAGGGCCATTCTTTGAGGGTAATTTTTAAATCACTATTTGTTATATATTTTTTTAGACTTTCTGTTTCTTTCTGAGTCAGTTTTTGTACTTTGCGGTTTCATGTGAATCTGTCCATATCATGTAAGTTATTTAATTTTATTAGCATATAGTTGTATACAGTATTTGCACTTTAGTCTATGGATGTAGCTTAGTCTAACCATTTTTGATAAGTTAGCATTGAGGTTGTTTTTTTTATATTTGATTTTATAATCAATGCGGTGATGAACATTTTTATGGGTGTTTGGCATAGTGTACATGTGTTAGGATATAGATTTTTTTAATTGGGTGTAGCTGCCGGGTCAGGAGTCTATTTAAACAAACACTGGCTCTTTCTGTCCTCTTGTCCCCTATCTTTATTGATTTGTGTAAGCTCTACGGCAGTCCCAGTGTCCTGGAAACTGGATTTAAAAGAATACTGTGCAGCTTATACTTAGAGTGAGTAGGAAGGCCAGTCTTGGAGTCTGGATGTTTGGTGCCTACTCTGGTCATGGGCGTTGGGTGTGGGTGCCCCAGGCCTACTCCTGTGCACTGATAATCAGGTTCCAGACTGTACATCCTGGATGACTGTAGGCTGCAGGCTTTCGGCCTCCTTAGGAGTCCTGCTTTTGTCTGACAGATGACTGGCATTGGAAGCAGGAATGAGTCTCTCCAGGTGACTCTCCAGAAGTCTTTCCCATTGGTGATTCCCTTCTCAAGGATTCTAAGGGCAGTGGGGCCACAGGCTAGCTAGTTCACTGATACCTGCAGAGCCTGCAGTGTTGGGTGCCTCTGCCTGTGCATGAAGAACTGAGGAGGACGTGTGTGTTCTCCTCCATCACTGTTAGTGTTTCTATTTCACCTGGGGACTGTCTGCTCTGGGTACTTATGGACTTACAGGTGCCAGGGTTCAGATGCGGGCAGTGGTGTTGGCTTGGTGAGTGGAGGGCTTCTAGGGACTCCTGTGTTCCTTTAGCAGTTTCTTCAGCTTCCTTGTTCCTTTTTTTCCCCCTGGAGTTTACACAGGTGATTCCAAACTAGGCTAAAGGTCTGGAAAGGTGTTGTTGGAGCAGTTAAAAATAATTCCTCCTCCGACCTGGAGGCCCAGTCAAGGAAGTCTTGAGCTATGCTTCATCAACTCACTCTAGGTCTCAAAGCCATGCCTCAGAGACTGGGGCCACAGGGCCACATCAGGGTCAGGCTGGAGCAGCTGTGCATTTACTGGCTCTCTGTCAGGTCCTGAATGAGATTTTATGGGAGACAGAAAATGCATGGTGTCACAAATAGCAGAAAGCTATGAATGTTGGCCATGTTGGCCCTGCTGCTGGCTGGAAACATCCCAACCACCAATCTTGCTGTCTTCCCAGGCATTTTGGGGGCCTTGGGTTTTCTCTAGGGAACCGCATGACCTCCTTCCGTGAGGGCCTGCACTCTCTAGGACTGATCATCAGCCCGGGGCCTGTTTTATTTCTTCCTTGATTGCCTGGAGTGTTCTGGCCCTGCAGGCCTGCAAAGGCAAAAATCACATTAGCTTCTCTCTTGACCCAAATGAGTCTTGTCCCTGGGGAAGGAAGGCTGGGGCTCAGTTTCCAGAGGGTTGATGAGCGGGAGGCATTCTCAGCAGCCCTTCTTACTGACCCTTCCCCCCTTATGTCTTTTAGTCCGCTGAGTTTTTCGAGATGCTGGAGAAAATGCAGGTGAGTACCCCAAAATGGGTCAGCAGCCCATCCTCAGGTGTAGATGCTGCGGTGCTGTGGGCCTCAGTACCAGGAGGTATTGGAGGGAGAGGACCCTCAGGCCCAACAACTTAGGCCACTATGCTATTGAGTGGCACTGAAATTTTGGGTACACTCCTGCCTTGGGACATGGAGGGCCAGCCCAGTATACCATTAACCCTTGGAATGTGGGAAAGACTCAGAAGAGATGTCGACTCTGGAGTGAGTTGAAAAGGAACCCTTGAAAAGCAAGCCCCATCTAGAGGAGAGTAATGTGGAGTTGGGGAGGCAGAGCCATAAGCGAGATGCAGATCTGAGTTCAAACCCTACATCTGCCACATACTGCACAACCGGCTTGCCATTTCCAAGTCACCAGAAACAAATAGGAGTAAAAATACCCACTGACAAGTGTTGGAGGCTGGAATGAGATCCTCTCTGTAAAAGCCTGGAGGGCACCACATGAAGATCAATGTTTGAAGAGCATTTGAGGGCCCTTGGTAATCATGGTCCATAGCTTCAGATCCCTCTCTGTGGGTTAAAGCAACTGTGGATACAAGCCCTGGGGGTTCCATTTGAACTGAACATGTACAGATGTTATCTTTGCCATTTTCCCCTGGACAGAGCAGCAACTCTGTTTGCTCAGTGTCAAGCTAGAGATTGTACGTCACCTAGAGACGGCTTGAAGGACACAGCAGGATGTGTGCGGGTTCTGTGCAGACGCTGTGCCATTGAATATACAGCACTGAGTAGCCAGGGTGTTCATATCCATGTGTCCCAGATTAGGGCTCACAGGAAGAGCTGTTCTGTTGTCCACATTGGTGTCAGCTGAGCTCTGGGCTCAGTTGCCAGGATTGTGATGCAGTGGTTGACCATGGTATACATATGTCAAGCGCTTCTCTGGGATGGTAGATCGAAGAGGCTGTTTTCTTCTCATGAGGTTTTCAGAACTGTGTATCTCACTGCTCTCCTGCCTCCATGTCACAGGGGAGAGCTGAAATGAAAAGATGCTCGTTTCTACTCTAGAGGAGGACGATCTGCTTTATATTCTTCTTTTAAAAATATTTTTATCTCAGGAGGAAGGTTTGAAATAAGGGATTGGAAGCCCTGGGAGGAGGGGCAGAGAAACGGTCCAGCCTGGTCCTGTAGTACAGAACAGAGGGCGCGGAAGGGAAGGATGTGTTGAGGGAGAGTAATTGTTAGTAGTTGTACCATTACCATGGGCTGAACTCTCCTCTGCACCCAGTAGTTTGTGGACTGCAAACTCATTTTCTCCTCATTTAGGGGAACTCATAATCTAGATGCGGAAAAGCTATGCCCTGCCGGGTAGCAGGAGACAGGGTATCATTAAGTGTTCAGCAGCAAAGCAAAGCTGGGGAATCTCCCTGCCTAGCTAGTGAGATTGCCGATCACTGGGAGGGGCTGGTGGTTCACTTGCCTTCTTTGTGGTTACTCTCTCAGCCCACCCACCTCACCTGCAGCTGAAGTCCCTGCCTCCTCCCACAGAACCCAGCCCTAGGGACTCTTGAATTGTTCTGTTTGGAGAGGCTGCTGGGTTGGGCTTCCCAGCTATACTGGGAGCCTCTCTAGGGCAGGGGGCTTGTTTTCAGACACTTGGTTATCTCAGAGACAGTGATGCCCAGCATGGCTTGCCAGCTGCACCTCAGCAGAGTTGGTGGGAAGCAGAGTTGTGATGTGTAAGACTTACCCATGGTGCACTGGACACTGGTCCTAGTGGACTCAGTTTCCAGCAACTGGGAGCGGCAGCCAGGGAGTGTGGCAGTGTGGATGGAGTCCATGCCAGGCATGGGCCTCGTCTCTTTTCATCTTACCGTTGTGTAAACTGAGTCTTAAAAACCACATATGTGATTGGGCCACTTTGGTAGTTCTGAAACACTGAAACTAAGATCCAAGACCCCCCAATTCCAACCCAAGCCTAGGCACTTGAAGGAGGGTTTAGGGCACATGCTTTGGAGTCTCCCAGCCCAGATTCCGGTCTGAACCTGATGTCCTGTAGCTGAGTGCCCTTGATGAAGTTATTGCCCTCTCTGAACTTCCGTTTCTTCTTGGGGGCAGGGAGAAGGGAGCATAAGGATAGTAGCCACTGGAGAGGGTAATGCTTGGGGAGGAAGGGCCCAGCTGTGGATGGGACTTCCTGGTAGGGGAGGAAGTGGAGTGGCAGCGGGGCTGGGAGAGGTTTGCACTCCTGCCCTGGGGACTGTTCCCAGACAGGGATGACTAACACAGGACAAACAAAACAGACTCCTGGCATAACTTCCCCACCCACCCAGGGTGCCATCCCGGACAGGGTCTGTGGGGCCACCCAGGCAGTTTTCTGTGGGTGTGTGAGAAGCACCTGTCAGTGGGAGGGGCCTTCCCACACCCTCCTGAACAATGCTGGGGCATGACTCAGGCCAGCAGTCCAGAGAAACAGCATTAATGTCCACCTAGGGAGGAGGAGACCTGCTGTCCAGGGAGCCGGGCGTGTGATTGTGTACCCAACTTCAGACACAGTTCCTAGCACTCACTGACTTAGTGCCCTTTGGCACACATCCATCCCTCAGTCTCCTCACTGAGGAAAAGGTGTTTTGCCTTCGAAAGAAGCCACAGTGGTGCTCCCTTGGAGGGTCAGAGCCTTGCTAAGGTTATGACGAGGCAGCTACTTCTGACTCCCTAGGGGGACTGCATCTCCCAGATGCCCTCTGGCTCATCCTCTCCGCTGATGCGCTCCGCCTTGGGAAAGCCTTCCCTCTTGCACAGTCCAGCTAAGTCAGAACCCGACTAAGGCCGCTGGACAAGGGGCTGCTCCTGGAAGTGAATTTCCAGCAACTGCAGGCAAAGCCCTTTAATCCAACCTTGGTCCTTGGATCTGGAAGACGTAGATGGGGGCTCGAGGTCTAATCCTCATTCCACAAATATAGTTAGGAAGACTCACTGGGTTACAGATAGAAAGCACCTGGTAGAATGAAGACCCAAAGGACCATACGTCCTGCCTGTTGTCCAAACACCCTTCCTCCAGGAAAAAGGTGGAGCTAGAAGGCAGGAGGACCAATGTGCTGGCTCAGACACCTGCAGGTGTGGGTGCTCACCATTCCCACCCACAGCCCTACGGCCTTCAGGAAGGTATTTGAGCACAAAGATGTTCACACTACCCCACCTACACTAATTCTACCCACACGCCTTACTGTACACCGTCAGTGTTTGAAATCCATAACCCATTACCCCCTTTAACCTGCACCGCGGAGTGGAAGGCACTGCCTTCGTTCCCACTTTATCGGTGAGAGCAGGAGTCACGCAGAGGGAATCTGTGACTTGTTCCAGGTCACCAGGCTAGGAAGTGTCGGTGTTGGGATTTGAACGCAGATGATCTGGCTCAGGTCTTAACTGGCCAGTCCACAATATCATCTGGGGTTGGTGTTGGGACTGACAAATGCCAAGTGTAGGAGGTGAGAGGCTCCAGTGCCTACCAGAGGCTCCTAACCATGCACAATGACCTCTGCTTACGCGGATCTTCTCTTCCTTGTTTCCACAGGGGATCAAGCTTGAAGAGCAGAGGCCAGGACCCCAGAAGAACAAGGTGGGATAGGCAGTTGAGGCTGAGTGGCCAGGTGGAGCCAGGGATGGGCCAGTGTGGGAAGAGGGCAGGCTGACCAGAGAACGTGTTGAGCTCACTTGGTGTACCCATCAGTTTTTCACCACGAGCCTGTTAAAAACTACACCCCATTAGACTCATGGCTGGTGGGTGGTAGAGGGACCCTGGCTCAGTGTCTTAAGGCTGCTTCCAAGCAGCCTAGGTGGAGACTCTCAAATGAGACCCAAGGATTGGAGGCCTAGATTGACCCTCTTCTCGTTCTCTCTGTGCACCTACACAGTGCTGAGGGTTGTTGTACTCTGGACTCTGATGGGCCACCATATATGAGCTTCAGGTTCTGTTTCTAAGGCCCAGTCACTTGAAAGAGATGGGGGAGGAACAGGGAGAGAGTAGGATTCTTTTTTTTTTTTCATTTTTAATCCTAGTTGGCCAAGAATGATCAATCTCTTGATCCTCCTGCCTCAACCTCCAGAGGGCTGGGATTGCAGGCGTGTGCCAGCTTGTCCAGCTACCCAGCTCTCTTTCTGTCTCAGGCCCCTAGGATGACAAGTTAGTGGCATTGGGGGTGATCAGGGCATCCCTTTTGTGTGCTATGTCTTTGGTTGACTGGGTTTGCATTCAGGTCTATTGATCTGGAGGTGAGTTCAATCGCATGTGATGCCGAGTCCTTGGGGTTGCCTCTAGAAGGCTGACTTTGATTCCTTGAAGCCCCGGAACATCCTACTAGGCCCCCCCAACACATCTCTTCTCTAGACCTGGGTGAGGAACATGGAAACAGTAGTTAGAGTGTTATGACCACTTGTGGAACCTAATGGCAGTGTCCTGTGCTTTGTCTTGCAGGATGACTATATCCCGTACCCCAGCATTGAAGAGGTAGGAGGTCCAGACTGCACTGCAGCCTACTCTGGATTTCTTCCTGAGGAGATCATGACCCTTCCCATCCCCACATGGGAGAGAATCTTGAGCCTAAGACTTTAGGGCCCAACACCCCTTCTTATCTGCATCTGTGACCAAAGCTTTTCTGAGGTTTAACTTGGGGATTCTAGTATAGTCCTTGTGAAACCCAGGGTCCCAGTGAATCTAGAGATGCCATGGGACATTATATGACTGCTCTTGGCTTCAGATACAAGGCCTTCCTCTTTGGAACAGTGCAGAGGAGGTGGAGTTCCTCTTCACTACAGTCCAGAGTAGGTTTCAGGGCAAGAACTTCCTTTGTCCCCAGGTTGTGGAGAAGGGCGGCCCATATCCTCTGATCATCCTGCCCCAGTTTGGAGGCTACTGGATTGAGGACCCAGAGAATGTGGGTACTCCAACGTCACTGGGCAGCAGTGTTTATGAGGAGGAGGAAGAGGACAGCCTGAGCCCCAACACGTTCGGCTACAAGCTTGAGTGCAGGGGTGAAGCCAGGGCCTACCGCAGGCACTTCCTGGGCAAGGTGAGTTTAGGGACCCCCCAGAGTGGACCCTGCCCTGGGGAGGGTGGCATGGATCTGTTCCAGGGATCCTCTGTCTTCTTTGCCTCTTGTCTTTCTTTGCTCTGAACTACTCGCTGCCCAGCTCTGTCTTACTGAGAGTCTTAAGAGTGATGTAGAGTCCCTGTGAAAGGTCCTTTTGGGGACCACGTCCAGCAAGTGTTTTGTGAGGTGATGAAATGAGCAGTGTTGGGGGTTCAGGAGGTTGGGATAGAGTTGTAACTGCTTGAGTTATACTGTTCAAGTTTAAGTGCTCAAAAAAGTTGTCCTCCCTGCTTGGATGGCTCTGTTTACATTTGCACAGTGCTTGTCTCTTAGGCTCTCTCAGGATGGTCCCCTGAGAGCTGAGATTGGATGTTGTCCCCTGAGAATGATTCTTTAACAATGGCAAAGTTACATTTCCTCAAATGCATTCTTGTCTTGATACGTTCCCCAAAGTCCCAAGGGAAGCCCTGGAAGTCCCTAGCCTAAGATGGCTTTGTAGTCTCACCCAAAAGAAACTGTCCAAGCCTCACTAAATCTCAGGGGGCATTGTTTAAGTGCAACTTCCGTGGGCTCATTGTTACCTGGGTGGGCCCGGGAGGTGGCCTCCCGGAAGCCAGGGAGAGCCCCACCTTGTGAAGAGAGACTGGCATTCTGCTTGGGCTCCTCCTAGCCTTCCTTCATGGTTTGGATTGATTAGGGCTGCCTTCTGAGTGAGAAAGGGAACTTAGCATCAGGTGGTGAAGGACCTGAAGGTGGAGTCCAGTCAGTTGTGGAGTTGAGCCTGGCTCTGTCAGGCGCTGGTTGAGTGATTGGAATGGGGAGGGTGACATCATCTCCTACACAGAGCTGTGGTCAGGATTAGAGAGGATAATGGGTACTAAGGCTGTGGGATGGTGCTTGGCACATCCTGAGGACGTGGTGGTTGACACCTATTGGTATCATCCTTGTCATCACCATGACCACCACCATCATTATTGTCACCATCATCTTGTCACCATCACCGATGCTGGAGCAGTAGCATCCTTCTCTTCCTCCTTCTTGTGGGGCTTCTCCCGCCTGGTGAAGGAGATGATATAGGGGCCATGCCTGGAGGCTCACACCTGATTTCTGTTTCTAGGATCATCTGAACTTTTACTGTACTGGCAGCAGCCTGGGGAACTTGATCCTGTCCATCAAATGCGAGGAAGCTGAGGGCATTGAGTACCTTCGGATCATCCTCAGGTGGGGCTGCTACACTGGCAGAGACCACGCCTCTCCCAGGCAGAGCTGGCATTAAGGAAAATGGGGGGAGGGCGGAAATACCAGACTGACCAGTCTGGTCTGGTTGTACAGGAGGGGCAGAGCTGCTAGAATCCTGGGGTTGTATATGATGTTGCCAAGCAATGTGACCATGTGTTACTGCCAGCTGTCTGAGCCTCAAGGTCACCTAGGCCAAAACTTCTGGAACTTTCCTGTCTTTCTTAGGAGGGACAGTGACTCTGAGGAGATGGACGATGAAGGAGGAATGGCACAGTGTGGCTCATCATGGTGGGACACAGCCCCATGTTCCTGGGAGAGAGCTGGCCAGATTGCTACACCTGATAGCCACCTAGTTAGGAAAGGTTGTGTCTGCTGGGGTTTTTGAGTTGGAGTGATGTCCCCAGCAGGAACACTGACATCAGATCCTTCTCTCTGAATTGTGATCCCCTCAAGCAGGGAAACTAGAACTGGTTTCTGTTTGGTTCAACCAACATGGTTTGCTAAGTATCCTTGAACCAGAAACTCTGATGGGTGCTGGGGACAATCGTGACTGAGACTTGGTCCGTGTTTCCCAGAGGCTTACCGTCTCACAAGAAAGAAACAGAATTTTAATAAATGCCACGGATGTTGTTCTAGTCATTTGCATAGGATGCTACAGGAACCCGAATGTTTATCTCTGTACCTGGTGGGAGTCAGATGTGGTGAAGTCAGGGAGAACTACGCTGAGTGTAATTAGACACAGTTGAAGGTATTTGGAGATAGGAATAACGACTTAATTTTCTGTGTGCATGTTGTGTATGGTTTGCAAGTATGTGTGCATATCTGTACATGGAGCCAGTTGAGTATCTTCCTGTATTTCTTGACAGCTTAGTTTTGGAGACAGGTTTCACTGAATCTGGAACTCACCAGTTCATCACATGCGAGTCATAGGGATCCTCCTGCCTCTGCCTCCTCAGCACCAGGGTTACAGGCACACACCATCATGCTTGCCTTTGTATGTGGGCGCCGGGAATCAAGGTCAAGTCTATAGTGCTTGAGTAGCAAATACTTTAAAGACTGAGCCATCTTCCCGGTCCCAGGAGTAACATTTTTTAATCTGCCCTAATTTAAGCTTTCAGTATGGGAGCACGGAATGGCATATATAGCCATGCTTTGGGAGCAGGTGTTTGAGAAAGGTGCCAGCACGTGCCCAGATTTGGTTTGCATCTAGGTGATGCTGGGGAACAAGCGTCAGTAGCTGTACGTGTGGGGCCTGAGCTTTGCCAGCTGAGTGGGGACTTGGTTTACTTCTTGTTTGGAAGGGAAGCCATTGATTGCAAGTGTTTTTCTGGGTAGACGTTGTATTTGCGAGGCACGGCAGAATCAGTTGAACAATACAGTCTCCCGAGTGGTTGGTTCCTGGGTCCCTGTCTCTAAGTAGCATCTTCACTTTGATGAGCCTCTGCTGGAAACAAATCTTTCTGTCTTAATAAAATCCAGACCAAGATTACATTCGGTGTCTGTGAGCTGACAGCTGATCATAAGGTCCTTTCAATTTTTCTTTCTTTGCTGCTGACATTTTTGGAAGCAGGGACTGTAGCCCAGGCTGGCCTGGAGCTCACTGTGTAGTCAATATTAGCTTCCAACTCATGATCTACCTGCCTCAACCTCCTGAGTGTTGAGATTTAAGGTGCAGGACACCCTGCCTGGCTCTCCAAAGCTCTGTTTTCTCGTATAATGTCTCTTATATCTCAGCTGAAATGTTTACCATGGGCAAAAGCTAGGGATAGGTGGCAGGAACACAGCACATGATTGACACACACACACACACAAACTTATATGATAAACACACACATGTATACACACATATATGTATATATACACACACACATGTATGTATACACACAAATGTAATTTTTAAATAAGTTGTAACCTATTGGACAGTTAGGACCAAAAGGTAGGTGACATTGAGTTGAAACTTGATTCTTTTTCTTTAGAAAGCAATGGAATGGAGATGCAGAGTTAGTTGGGCCTGGTGTGACTCATGACTATAATTGAAACACTTCATACACCAAGAGTTTGAGGCTAGTCTGGGCTACATAGTGAGTCCCGATAGAAGATTCTGGAAGAATCTGGTGCTCTTTAGGGATGAATAGCCGGATATCTTTCTCCATAAAATTATTTTTGTTCTAAGCCTACAGCATATGAAACCAGTTCCCCCAGGAAGCGAGGAAACACAAACGTGGCTCTCCCACAGAAAGCCAGTGGGTAGGTCAGCAATGAGAAGCTGTACACCAGCCAGGAAACTGGACAGTCACAGCGTGGACCTGGACTAATTGCCAGAGCAGTTGGAAACTAGGCAGGAAAAATTGGCTCCGTGGCTTAGCAGCTTCACTGGACACAAAGAAGGACTTAAGCAGGAATGAAATTCTCTTGTTGGCAGTGACTGCCATCCCAGTGTTAGACCTCTGGGTTATTTGATTTGGTGCCCCAAATTTATAGTAACCAGCTCTCTAGCTTAAAACACAAGATGAGCTTGCCAACATTCTTGGTGTGTCGTGGGAATGTCCCCCGGTTGCAGGCATCGCTTCTTGTGTTTAAAGACCACCATATGTATTTGCTGTGAACTCTGTTCACAAGGCTTGTTTATTTTTATATCAGATTGTAGCTTGACATTTCTATTTTAAAAGTCTTATAAAAGGTTCTGACAGCAGGTATATTGAACAGCTTCTGAACCAGGAATTAAGTCTAAATGGGTTTCAAAACACAAACACTCTGCTGGATACATCCACTTAAAATTTGACAATAAAACTAGAAATTCATAACAAAGTAATGTTTTTGATAATTCACTTAACCATTTAGAAACAACCACAATAATTTTCTAAGTAATTTTTATGCCAGAGAGGAAGTTAAAGCCACGAAGTCATGAGATGTCTATAAATAATGACATTTAGGGGCTGAGCTAGCTTGGCGCTCAAGAACACCGGCTGTTTTTCTGGGGGACTCAGGTTCAGCTCTCAGCACCCACATGGTGGCTTAAAATTGTTTGTAACTCCAGTTGCAGAGTTCCCCAAATCCCCTTCTGGCCTCTATGGAAACCAGGCATGCTCATGGTACATAGACAGACATACATGCAAGCCAAACACGTTTAAAAAATTAATGCCATTTGTAATAAGTGTGATGTAAGTTGTAGTGAACGCCCTCATTAGAAGGAAATCCATTGCTTTACTCAACCGATTGCTGAATAAAAATGATGTTTGCAAGTTGCTATTGCTATTAGTGACCTCTCAGTGTTTCCACTCCCTGATGCATGAAGAAATTATGAAATAATTGAGTATGTTTGTACCCTAGGGAGTCTGGGCCCCACATATGATAGCTTCTTGCTAATGACAGCTGGCTTCATCATTATCAGCACTGCTGTCTAAAGAGAGCAAGAGGAAAGGATGGACAAAGATTAATGTGGGAAAATAATTAGAATGAGGAGAACTTACGATTTGGTTATCAAACGAATCTTCTACCAGGGAAAACAAAGGAATATAGATGGCTGTCTAGTCAAATAGAGAGACGAAGAGCCAGGCATGGTAGTGCTTACTTGTTATCCTGACATTTGGGAGGCAGAGTCAGGAAAACCAGGAGGTCAAGGTTATTCTTGTCTATAGAGTGAATGGGAGACCAGCCTGGGTTACATGAGACTGTATCTCACTCCCCATATAGAGAAAATACACAATGTACAGATAAAAATATTCAAAATATTTCAATATAGATAATATGTGAAAAATATATAGGCTGATACAAGGAAACAAAATAGGCATAAAAGATACTTTGGGCTAGAGAAATGGCTCTGTGGTTAAGAGCACCGGCTGCTCTTCCGGAAGATTTGGGCTTTTCAGCACCCATGTGGCAGCTTGCAACCAGCTGTTACTCCAGCCTCATGGGATCCAGTGCCCTCTTCAGGCTCCTTAGGCACTGCACACACATAGTGCACATACATACATGCAGGCAAATCCCAGACACATACAATAAAAAAAAAAACCTTCAAAATGGCGCATAGTTACAGATACGGAGATTAAATAGTAAGGGATGTTGTATATAACATAAACCATTCAACTGAAGATGCCCTTAGAAAAGATGCCCTTCCAGGGAAGAGTGTGTTATCAAGTTTACCTCGAGATGGGAGTTAAAACCCAAGTGCAGCAGCAACTGTGGAATAAATTAGAAAAGTTCTCCAAGAACTCTCTCTCCAAATGTTTCTGGCTCTAGAAGATCTTACAGGTAGATATTTTAAACTCTAAGGGAACAGATTTATGTTACTTAAACTGTTCAAGAAAGTAGAAAAATATGGAAGCCTTCTCAGTTAACTTGTTAATGCTTGGAAGATCTTTAGTAAAAAACAGGCAAATGAAATGCCAATTCATAAAAAAGAAAATGAAAACAATAGTGTACAATATTTACAGATACAGAAGAATGCTTTAAGCAAGGAATCAGCCGGAGAAACTCAGATACACATAGAACATGAAGCATCCTTAAGAAAGTGAAGAAGGAATTATTTAGCAATGTAAAGAATAGTTATTGTGAGAAAGACATTACTCATCAGTGTTTGTTTAATTGGTACCCCAAATGTGCCGGAGTGCTGGGATTAGCCCCATGGCCTGCACGCTAGGCAAGTCCTCTACCATTGAACTTCACCTTCAGCACCTGCTCTCAATACTCCTGCCCTCTCCGCCCTATTTATCTCCTTCCTATGGGCATGGATCCTTACAGACTGTTCAGGGTGCTGCAAAGCTAGCTACTGATACTGGACGGGTGTATGATCAAAAGATTATTCTAGAGAAGTAGTTTTTGAAGTTTGGGTTTTTTTTTCCCAAATCTCCAGAGTAATGGGGGGGTGGGTACAGAAGGGAGTATCTCATGATCAGGTGTGTAGAATAAATTGCCTGGACAGAATGAAGAACGCAGCTTGGAGCGAAGGCAAAGCCACAGCAGGAAGTGGGTCAGGAGGCTGCCGAGCTGAGCCAGGGCAGTACAGGTGATGAACCAGGCCAACCGACTGTATAGTGTGAATGGCTCCCCCAGGCTGTATGGACCGGCAGCCATGATGGAAGCTAAACCAACGTGGCTTGTACTGAGAATAGAGAAAAGTGGGTGGAAAGTTCCAAACACATGGGAAAAAGTGACATTAAGAGACAGCCAAAATGTCAACAAATGGGAGAGGGAGTCGCTGCTGATGAAATGCAAATAATGGCTTGCTTTAGAATGACTTAAACACGGTCATTAAAAGCTTAGAGAAAGATGAAGAATGAAGAGCATCTCTCAAGGGTCATACATTGCCGTTCAGAGAATCGAATCAGGAGCAGGTGGGGATATAAAGAGAGCAATTAGAATTATCAGAATGAAAAATAGTTGTTGACGTAAACTTAACACACGGGATACAATCTAGACTTTTCAAAGAGCGATCTGGGAGATGGTCCCAAGGAATCCATTCAGAACACAGGGCAGATAAGAGATTAAGTGTAAGAAGAAGAAGATAAGGTGTGTGGACAGCAGCCTGGGAGGCCTCTGAGCAGCAAAGAGGCTCACTAGTGAACAGTTCCCCGGGAGTAAGAGCTGGGAGCCGGTGAGAGCTGGAGAAAGCTCGCAGACATACTGTGGCTTCTGATTTCAGAGCCAAAACACTGGTAGACATGTTTAAACGAAGGAGCAGAAATCGAAGCTTAAATTAAGGTAATGCTAGTTGAGGTTAAAGGCAGTTTTTGAGGTGGTGACAGCTCGGCGGGGAGCAGATTTCCCTCCGGTCAGAGCGAACAAGAAGAACTACTTTAACCTACAGTTCTGTACCCAGAGAAGCTGTCACTAAAGATAAAATTAAACTGTTTCCAGAACGTTAGAAACAGAGAGAGTGGCGTGCCTCTCAAGGTATCCCTGGAAGACTTACTGGAGGATGCACTTTAGCCAGAAGAGAAGAGAATCACAAAAGGGTCGCCACTAGAAAAGTAACAAGAAATAGGTAAATCGTCTTGACAAGTTTAAATGCTGATGGGGTATTATTCTTGGCAAGTTTCAAAAGAAGGTTGCAGTTATATTTATTTTTAACAAAAATAGCATGGCTGACAGAAGGGCAGAAGTCAGTGGGTGAAGAACGTAACAGAGTTCCAGAGGTTTCTAGGAAAATTGTAAACATGTGTACCGCGAGATGCAGGATATGGAGGGATAAACAGAATAAAGAATTATGAACAAATTAAACAAACAAAAACTCAAACACCCAGGACTTCATTCAGTGGAATGCTGGAGAGGAGGGAAAGAAAATAACAGAAAATAGAAATTGACAGGCTCGGAGTGATTACAATAAATATACAATGTGGTTACAATAAATATAATAGACTAAGCTAGCTGTTAAAATATTAGGAAACCAGATTTGATTAAGAATGTAACTTCAATTTGTTATAGGAGACATTATTAAGAAAAAAAAAACACAGGGCCGGGTGGTGGTGGTGCATGCCTTTAATCCCAGCACTCAGGAGGCAGAGGCAGGTGGAGCTCTGTGAGTTTAAAGTCAGCCTGGTCTATAGAGCGAGTTCCAGGACAGGCTCCAAAGCTACACAGAGAAACCCTGTCTCGAAGAACAAAAAAACAAAAAAGAAAGAAAGAAAAAAAAAGAAAATAACACGGCATGGAAAGGTTTAGAACAAGGGAAGGGATAAAGACGCAGGAGGGATATAATGACTAAGAAAGCCAGCATAGTAGTATGCAAACAAGACCGTGTAGAAGCTCAATGGAAAAGCAGAGACATAAAGGAACACGCCATTGTCTCCCGGGAGTGTTTCTTCCCCGTGTTTTCCACTGTGTGGATGGAACACTGCTCTACAGCGCCCCTGGTTCTCGTCCCTGTTTATTGTATCTGTGTTCTGGAGCACGAACTTATGTTTAGCTATGTCCCTTCTCCCCTTTCCTCGTGGAGTATTCCGTAGCGCGGTCCCCACAGGAGGGTTCTTGCCCGTGCCTCACAGTCCCTGAGCTGTAGGTAGTTTCTGAAGTTTGTCTAGATTTGTTTCATGGGTCACACGGAAATGTGTGTTCTCACCTGGTCTTTGTCAGTAACAAAGGAATGAATCCAGCTCCTTGCTGCCTTTCTCTTCTTTGTTGCTTTGTTTTGAATTTCTTCAAGATAGAGTAGACAGAGATGCCGTTTGATGGGTTCCCACATAGGCCTTAGCCTACTTCTCAGTGAAGAGGACTGGAGGCTGGAGAGATGGCTTAGCACTTAAGAGGACCCAGGTTTGATTCCCAGCACCCACATAGCAGCTCATAGCCATCTGTTACTTGAGTTTAAGGGGTTCTGACACTCTCTTCTGGACTCTGTGGGCACCAGGCATGCATGTGGTACACAGACATGCAGACACAACGAATATCCACACAAGCAAAAATAAATATTAGAAAAAAAGGTCCAGAGGACAGACCACTGAGGACCACCGGTCATGGACGAGTGCTGGTAAGGTGGTCTTGGGTTTAGGAAGCGTGAACTGGCACTGTGAATGCAGCTTTCTGAGCTTTGCCTTTGCCTGGCATGTGCAAAACCATGGGCTCAGTCTCCTGCAAGGAAACAAACAGCAACAACAACAACAACAAAAAAAACCTCAAAGCAAGAACTGACAAAGTTTTAGGGAGGAGTAGACAAAACCCTCAGTTTAGTGGGAGAGTCTCAGAAAACAATGGCTATAATAGAAGATAATTGTGAGGCCTATAAAGTATTTGAACAGTACAGTAAACAGATTCAATCTTGTATCTTTGCTCTCAACAAAAGAAAAAGAAATATATCCTGGATTGCGAAAAGGAGAAGAGAAAGGTCCGTGTATTATTAGGAAGTTTAAAATAATGCCATATAAGTTATGCTCCATGAATATGACAATTAATTTATCAACCAACAATAAAATACTTGAGGGGAAAATAATCTTGTATTTGGAAAGCATTTTTCCCAAGGCCCCTTTAAATAACCCGTGGGCAGAAAAGGAAACCACAAAAGAGCTGACAAAATATTTAGAACAAGATGGCAATAAAAACACTACCTATCGGAGTGTGTGGGATGCGGTTAAAGTGGCGCTCACACACAGATGCAGAGCTGCAGATGTGTCTGTGAAAGGAAGACAGGCCAAACGAGTAAACGTGCAGGTTGATAAGCCAGGGAAGAGAAGGAAGGATGAGGACAGGCATGCGACGTGGGAGCGTACATGGACAAGGTGAAAAGCCTACGGCAGGGAAGCCTCAGCTAGGTACAGAGTGTGGGAAGGATGCACGTGGGTGATGGGGTGAAGGTGGCTGAGTTGGGAGAGCCTGGGTCTAGCCTCAGCGCTGCTGGATGAAGCAGAAAACTGGCCTATGAACCGGCCACAGTTACTGCTATGCTGGAGGACGCAGCTGCTCTAATAACGAAGCCTTAATCCCAGCACTCGGGAGGCAGAGGCAGGCAGATCTCTGTGAGTTAGAGACCAGCCTGGTCTACAAGAGCTAGTTCCAGGACAGGCTCCAAAACCACAGAGAAATCCTGTCTTGAGAAACCAAAAAAAAAAAACAAAAAACAAAAAACAAAACAACAACAACAACAACAAAAAACCAAAAAAACAAACAAAAACCCCCAAAAACAAAAAAACAATAACAGCAACATCATAGCAATGAATGCCGTGGGTACTTGGGTAGAAAAACTTAAATTATGGAAAATGACTCATAGAAAACTTACATGTTTACCACTAAAGAACGGTAAGGGGGCCTCTTATAAAGGATAGCGGGGCCAGAGATGTCATACATACACTACAGCAAACCTTTAGTGAACCATGTATCACACGCATCATTTCAGAAGACAGGAAATAGGCTGTGTGATTTTGCTTGGTTGGAATAATACCTTATTATGGAAACTTGGCAAGGGAGGTGCATGAAGGAAAAAAGAGGCCAGCGTTGTTTTGGAGCATAGATGTGGTGATCTAAATAAACAACAGCCAATTAAACTCAGCAGAATATTAAAAAAATCATATATCACAAAAACTCAGCGTTTCACCCATGGAACGAAACAACCCACGAGGTTAACGGATTAAAAATCCTATGATGATCTAAGCAGACACGGAAAGTGTTCCGTGAAATTCAGCGCTTTGATAATGTGCTAAATGAATCAGGGAACAGGCTAAATTTAGAGTCTTATGTTGACTCCCTTTCCCAAGCAGATTCCATCCCACTTATATTTTGAGTAAATCCCGATTTTCAAATATTAGATTATCTTTCATAAAGGTTCATTTGCATATCAAAATGTAAATATATCCAGAAGCTGGGCCCAGTTATCTGGGAGAATAAAAAACCAAACAAAAAAAGAAAAAAACAAAAAACAAAAACCAAAAACCAAAAACCAAACAGAATCTACAAACCAAAAAATAATCGTAACCCTGAAAGAAGCGACGTAATTGCATTAGCCAGTTTTTCAGGTGTGATCTATAGGTATCTACCACCCCTGGGGAACACGGGAAGGAGCCCGTTTTCTCACCTTTAGTGTGGTGTCCCTATCCCTAAGGCTGGCTGGGAAGGCAGATCTGTTTCCAGGGAGATGGAAGTGAACCGAGGACCCTGCCTGGTGTGACCGCAGCCACTTTATCCCCTGACTGTCTTTCATGGGTGCCCTCATAGTGCCCTTATCTGTGCCCAGGTCCAAACTGAAGACAGTGCACGAGCGGATCCCCTTGGCTGGATTGAGCAAGTTGCCCAGCGTCCCTCAGATCGCCAAGGTAAAACATGAACATTAAGGGAAGGTGAAGTTTTCTGTCCGCCCAGGGCTGGCTCTGGGGTGGGGTTGCAGGCTCTGCTCTTTGCCTCGATGGAGGGAGGTGGCTTAGCAGCTGCCTCTGTCTTCCTCCCTCCCTCCAGCTCATCCTTGCATCTCAAGCTGCTCCACTCAGGAGACAGGAGACGTTGGAAGGCAGGCCTGACCATGGCTAGTGCTTCAGAGGAGGATGGTGGTGGCCTTGGATGCTTTCACTGAGGGGTGGGGGCTGGGCTGAGGGTGATCCAGATCCAGCCCTGACCTGAGGAAGGGGCAGTTGGGGCAGTTGAGTCTCATGTCACTCACTGCATGAGTGATGGGGGTACTTGGGAATGGAATCAGCGCTGTGGAGTCATTGGGCTGAGTGGGACCCTCACTCCCAATACATAGAATATGTTCACTCTGATTGAATACGGGAATGCCAGAAGAATTGTGCCTTTTGTTGGAGTTGGGGAGTGATGGCTTCTTGGTATTGTCTTCTAGTCAGAATGGAAATGTTTCTTAGACTTCATTTTTTTTGCTTCCCTTTAATTTATTACAAAACCCTAGGACCCCAGAGTGTCCTGGGCCCACATTAGTGAACAGCAGAATTTGACCCGCTGTGCCTGGTCCTCCCATGATGCTTTCTGTCTGTGGGCAGAGAAACCTGTTTGTACGTTATAGACATAGTTCTTGACCATGTGTTTCTTTCACAGGCTTTCTGTGATGATGCAGTGGGCCTGAAATTCAATCCTGTCCTGTACCCCAAGGTGAGGACCCTTGTGTGTCTGTGGACTAGTTGTCCACGGCTCTGCAGCTTGGCTTGGGTCTGTACATGTGGGGCTCCATGGAGGAGCTCCTTGCATCATGGAGGGGCCATGTGGGGTTGCTCTGGTGATCTTCTATGTCTTCCTCTTTTCTCACTTAGCCCTCCACAAACTGGTACCCTGGGAACCATTCTCAGTCATACCTGGGCTTCCAACCCACTGAGTAGGTCCCAGGCCTGCTGTGAAGGTTGATGGGGAAGTGTTTCTGCCTCTCCCCAGCTGTACTTCTCTGAGACCAGGGTTGGGGTTGGGCAGATTCTCTTTTCACCAGCCAGTCAGATCCACCCCGACATCATGGAGGTATGGGGTGCAGAACTCAGAAATGCACTAGGAAATAAGAGGCCACACCTTTGCTCCCCGTTGCCCATGTTACTGCAGCTCTGAGGTCCTCTAAGCCTTGCTGGCCTTAGTTAATAAACTGGCAGTTCTCTGATATTGGCTCTCTTACGACCGGCCTGATCTTGACACCAGTTCTAGTACGGGGATGTGCATGGGGAAAAGCAATAATAACAAAACAAACCAACAAATGCAGTCAACAGCAATTACAGCATGGCAGTGCTTAAATCACCCACAGTGGAGAATTGCTTGAAATTGCCCATAGGAAAAGACCCCATGTACTGACTACTGCTTCATAAGCCAGCAGAGGCTCGGGGAGGATGTGGAGACAGAGATGCGCTTCCTCTATGGCTTCTGTTGTGGCCAATGCAGCTGCAGCTGAAGCTTGCGGGGTGAGTTCTGTCCATCCCCCAAGTCTCAGCTCTGACGACCAGGAATCAGGAGATGAAATTTCTGGCAGGGAAGCAAGACCTTCACCCTGCTTCGACATTCGGAACACCCTCAGATGTCCTGAATGGCTACCACTGGGCACAGCCGTAGAAGCATATGTGTGTCTGTGGGGGTGAGCTGGTGGCGCAGTCCTCAGCTGCATAGAGCCCTTCTCTCGGATGCCTCTTTGGAGTTGTTTTATTGTCTGTAGACACCAGCAATGTGTTGCACTCCAGAGAACGTTCTGCATCATTCAGACTGACCTACCTTTGTAATCAAAGCTGAATTAGTGAGGTTTAATAACCAGTAAAACCCCATCAAAAAGGCCTAGCTGAACTCGGGTTTGGCAGTTCTTGCCACAGCCGTATCCATCAAGAGGCTGCAGCGTGCTCATTCACAGGTTTGCCTTGGGAAGCCCGAAGGGCCTGGTGGGAATGGAAGAACAGCTCTACTTCATGCTGTCTGAGGCCGACTGAGGTCCGGCTGAGATGTGGATCTGGATGAGAAGTGTGTGTTTTCACATGTGTAGAGTTACATGTTCCGTGGAAGGTCTCTGTGACCAGCCTTTCCCCTGCAGGGTACCTGTTCTCCCCTTTAACTCACCGAGGCAGCCATGGAGGGCAACTTATGGGGTGGCTAGCAGGGCTCTCACTGGGAGAGCTGGGGAGCACCCCTTTCCTCAGACAGCCTGTTATTGGCCACATATCTCAGCCCAGCCAAGCTGGGTTCTTCCTCTAGCACAGCACATAGCCAATCCCTCCTTTGTGTCGTAGAGGTTTCCCAGAAGCCCTCAGGTAATCTTCTCTTTCTCATAAACTGGTTCAGTTCTGATGTTTCCGGAGGGTTCCATAGGTGATGATGGCAACAGCAGCTGCTCTGTGCTCACCACTGTATTGCCTTGTCTTGTTGAGTCTGTCAAATTCCACATCGGCCTTTGATCGAGGAGGGAGCTGACACATAGCGAGGCTGACTGGTCACTAAGAACTACATGGTTCAAAGCACTGATTCAGAATCAGACTTTATTTCTTAATTAAGTAGTTCACATACCAATTTTGTGAGGCAAAATGGAAGCCTAACTAGAGCCTATGGCCAGGCTTTTTTTTTTTTTCACCTTTGCGCATCTTCCTAGAGTGCGTCCAACTAGTGGGTTGACATCTGGGCAGGAGCAATGACTCAAATTTACATTTCTGAAAAGAATCTGAACTCGAGCAGAGCCTTCCTTGCTGACCATTTGTCAGGGGAAAGGGTTGACTTTATTTTTTTATACTACAAATAAAACCGTGAGGTAGAGTGAATTCCTTATGTCCCAGCTGTGCCTGGCTCATCTGGATGGGATCAGAATGGGAGGTTTGACTACCACTGGGGAAGCCCAGGTTCTGGGAGCCAGAGTGGGCCTTAGAGCAGCTTCCTGGCATGGGCCAGTTCTTTGCTTCTCCTCCTCTGCGTGTGTAGCTGTCTCCTGTCTGGGCCCACTCTCCGACAAAGTGGACTTATCTTTTGTTTTTTTCCCCTGTTGATGTCAATCTTGATTTTCCGCCCTTTCCACATTTTTTAGGCCTCTCAGATGATCGTGTCCTATGATGAGCACGATGTCAACAACACTTTCAAATTTGGTGTCATTTATCAAAAAGCCAGGCAGGTAAGCACCATAGTTCATGTTGGTCACTGTAGTTTTTTGTTTATGGTAAACACCATGGTTTACATTGGTCACCATAGCCTCTAGTTCATGGTAAGCACCTTGATTCACATTGGTCACCATGTTTATGATAAGCACCATGGTTCACATTGGTCACCATAGCCTCTTGTTTATGGTAAGCACCATGGTTCACGTTGGTCATTATAGCCTCTTGTTTATGGTAAGCACTATGGTTCACGTTAGTCACCATAGCCTTGTGTTTATAACTTTCTATTGTTTCTTCACCCCAAGAGCAGGGGTCCTGAGTTAGGCTCTTTTTGTCTTTTTTAAAGATATGCTTTATTTTTTTTAATTATGTGTATGTCTGTGTGTGTGTTGTGTGGGTATGTACACATGTGAATACAGGAGCCCATTGGGTCCAGAAGAGGGAGTTGGATTCCCAGGAACTAGAATCAGATGTGAACCTTTCGATGTGGCTGTGAGGAGCTAAATCCAGATCCTCTGCAAGAACAGCAAGTGCTCTTAATCATGGAGTCATCTCTCCAGCCCCTTCTCTCTCTTTTCAATTAGAACATTTAATGTATTTTTTATTTTAGCCTAGCATGCTAAGCTAATCCTGGCATCGTCATCTCTGTGTCATTATACCTTGTTCTCCTTTGTTTCTGTCTCCTCCTGCTTTTCTCCTGGAATTCATCAGGTTCCTTTTCACCTTCCGGTCCACTTCCTTGTTACACATTCTCCACTATGCACTCTGTTTCCTGTCTCCATTGGAATCTCTTCATCTTTCATGATCAAACACACACACACACCATGCACACATATGAGTACACACATACACATAAATTTTTTGTTTCATTTATTTTTTTGAGTTTTGAGACATGGTTTTACTAGGCAGCCTTGGCTGGCCTGGAACTTACTACATAGACCACACTGACCTTAAATTCAGAGATCTGCTTGACTCTCCTTCCTTGGTGCTGGGATTAAAGCACCATGCCTGGCAAGATACACAAGTTTTTAAGTTCAGGGGCCACACATGCGACATTTGTCTTTCTGAGTCTGGCTTATTTTACTTAACACAATTATTTTCAGTTGTATCCATTTTCCTGAAAATGTCAAAATTTCAGTTTTCTTCATGGTTGCATTGCATAAAATCCCATTGTGTGGTATTTGCCTGTTCATCTTTTGATAGACAACTATGCTGGTTTCATTTCCTGGCTGTTGTAAATACTGTGTTCATAGCTATGGATATGTAAATATCTCTGTGGCTATTAAATGCTCTGAATACAGTTGTCACATTCAAAACATAAATTGGATTGGAGATAGGTGAATGTTCAAAGAAGACAACTTTACAATAAGGTCTGCAAGTCTTATAGAGGGTGGTTTAGTTCTCACACAGTAAAGTCTAATTCTTCCTTGCTCCTTCAGCTTGTATTTATCTGGGGGCTATGAACCAAAGAAAAACACAAACAACAGAGAGGGAATGGGTTAGCCTAGGCTACTCTTCTCCCACCTTTTTCCATTGGGAAATTAGCCTTTTTTCCTCATTCTTTGGGGTGTTGGAGCCCAGTGATGTTATGTTGGTAGGTTGAAATCAGCCTTGTTGGAAATAGTTACACCATGGAAATTAGAAAGAGCAAAACTTGTGTTCCCTTGCTGGGAAAGCAGGTTGTTAAACCTGTTTTCTACAATGAACATTGCTAATGTCCCGAGCAAGATGGTCAGCCAAAGGCACTGGTGTCTCCTCATCCAAGTTCTGTGAGGAAATTCCAAGCTCATTTCTCCTTTGTATCCAGTACCCAGCATGGTGTTGGGGACACACACAGGCACACACACCACACACATGCATACAAACACACTTTATGAATTTATATGTGTGTAAGAGTCTATTGGTATGTGATTAATGAGTGAATACGAAATTTGGCTTTGCTAATTGCAGGTCATTGATGTTCTGTGTTTTTTTTTTTTCATGGCCATCTCTTTCTTGGTTAGTTGATTTCTTTGTTGGTTAGATGGTTTCTTTGTCTGAAGACATTAGACCACAAAAGGCACAGGTCTGCTTCAAAGCACTAATTGGGTGAAGAGTTACAAAGTCCAGCATGGATGCATCTCATAATTCACGGGAGAGGATTTAGGTTGCCAATGGAATGACTTTCACATATTAACGCCTTTATTTCATATATCTTGGCTACTATCACCCCTGTAATTAAAGCTCTTTGCTTGTGAAATTTACCAAAACATACTTTACACGGTGATTATAATTCAATGTTCCAGCAAAGTTGTAATTATTGAATATTAACTATCCACCTCTAAGAAGGAAGGAGCCGTGTTTTATTTATGTACCCAGTGCTGCTGCTGCAGGGGAGAAGCTAGGAAAATTAAAAAAAAAAAGCCAGGCAGATTTTTGCTTTGCAAACCTACAGCTGGGGGACATTTAATACGAACATTTGTTGCATAAATGCTCTAAACTGGTCTTTGGATAAAAATAAGCCTCACCTAACTGTCCTGTTTGTCATGTTCTGTGCTGAGCACTGTGGGTGATAATGATGACTAAGGCCTCCTCCCTGAGCGTATGGTCAAGCTCAAGGGCTGTACAAAAACAAAGACAATGATAATAGCCATGCTGAGTGTGAATCCCGGGAGAGCAGTGCCAGCCCCAGAAGGCACACTAGGCTGTTTCCTATTGGAGATGTAGCTTGCCTGGAAGAAGCTATCTTCCCACACAGCCTGTAGTGACAAGGTCTTCTTGGCTTGCTGAAGATCAGGGTTAGTACACTCTGTAAACTGGAGGGTAGTAGACTCTTTAGACTTCGGAGCCCTGGGGACTGCCACATCCACTCGACTCTGCATGTAGAAGCAGCCTCAGACACACAAGTAAATGAATTGCGCTGGCGGTGTTCCAATAAAACTTTATTTATGAAAACAGGAAATGGGCCAGTCTTGACCACCTGGGCAAGCGTTAGCTGCCTCCTGTTGAACAACAGTGTTCACCTGTTGGTGGGCCTCCCTCAGGATCTGCATCACAGTGTTTGTTCTGCTACGCTATTAACTACTATTTCCCTAAAAATGTTTTAAAACTTAAGTGTATCTATTTATTTTTTTATTTATTTTTGTGGTGCTGGGGATCAAGTCCAGGGCCTTACACATGCTAAGCAAGTGTTTTACCATGGCCCCAGCCTCTTGGGGCTTTTATTTTGAAAGGAAATTATACAACGCTACTTTAACTGGAAAGCCATTCTCACTGTCTCTTGCTATGAAGTGAAGGCAGTTGTGTGTGTGTCTGTTTGTGTGTGTTCATGCGTGCCCGAGAGTGCATGGGTATGTGTGCAAATGTGTATTTGATTTATTTTGTTTTGCTTTTGAGACTGTAGTTCAGGCTGATATTGAACTTGCTATGGAGCCCATTTGGGCTTGGAACTCATTTTTCTTCTGTCACAACCTTCTGCTTGCTGAGATTACCGAGAAATACTATTAAAAAGCAAAATGAAGTTGTTGAGATGAGTTAGATTGTGTCGCCTTGTGAAAGCTTAGAACCTGAGGTCTGATCTTATTTACTGTAAAACAGGCTGGGGGTGTCAAGCCCAGTAGTAGAGCGTTAGTGGGGTGTGAGGAAAGCCCCGAGTTCCACCCCTAGCCGGCATGAGAGAAGCGGGGGCTAGGAGCTGTCTGGTGGAGACTTTGGCCTTGAATAGACTGGCGAATTGGAATGTCTTATGTGTAGCCGCAGGTGTTTGTGGATCCTGCCTCCGTGGGCAGAGCACATGGATTAGGTAGGACTTGTCAGTGATTTAAGTCTGTCACTACTTAGAGAGCTTACTCTTACTTTCAGTTTTGCTTTCTTTAGTAGTTACTAATCTTCTTAGTTTTGCATAGGAGGAAATAGCAGAGAAAGGTCTGATGCTTTTACCCAGTTTCCCTAGAGGTCAGGTCTCAAACTACAGGGCTGTGTCACAAACCAGGATTGCTGACAAAATGGAAATATTACTCCAGTTTCCCCAGTTCACACGGACTTAAAAACACCTGTCTGTCTGTCTGTCTGTCTGTCTGTCCACATGCATTCAGAGGTCAGAGGAGAGCTTTCAGGGGTCAGTTCTTTACACTGTGTGGATCCAGGAACTGAACTCGGGTCGTCAGGGATGACAGCAAGTACCCCTACCTGCTGAGCCTTCTAGGTCCCTCACATGGATTTATTTGTATGGGGTGTGTGCGTGTGAGTCTGTGTATGTGTTGTTCTGTGTTGTTTAATCCATAGTCAAGAAGCAGATTCTCACCATTCGGTTCCCTACATTTTCCTTTTATAGCCCAGCCTCTCTCCCCCTGCCTCTGCCCTTCCTTCTAGTTCCAAACATTGGCAACTGTTTATCTGCTTTCCCATCTTAGTTTCACACTGTGATAGCACCACCCTGATACGGCATCATATCTTTATGAGTTATTAATATTTTAGTAAAACCTTCAGGGTTGCTCTCTGCTCAGCAGATTGTCCAACGTCTCAAGTGTGCCGCTGGTTTGTTTCGTTTCTTCTTGTTTCCCCCTCTCTCCCTCTATTCCTTCCTTCTCCTCCTTTTTCTGTTTCCCTCCTCCTTTCCCTCTTTCCTTTCATTATTTTGAGAGAGATTCTCACTGTGTAGCCCAGGCTGGTCTCGAACTTGGTACCTCTCTGAGTGCTGGGATTACAGGTGTGTGTCCCCATGGCTTGTGTCATCATGTCACCTGGCTTAGGCTGAGTAGTATTCTGTGGTCTGGCTGCACATGCTTAGCCATTCACACTCTCAGGCATCAGGGTCGTTTCCAGCTTTGGAGACACATGAGCGGAACTACTATGCGCACTTTTGTGTAGGATTTGGGGTTAAGAACCTATGTTTTCATTTCTCTGGATACCTGCCTAGCAGAGTAATTGCCGCTCGTATGGCGAATTGCATGTGCCAGACCATTTTCTGAAGCGATTGTTTCCCCTTCGGTGTGAGTGATCCAGCTTTTCTGCGTCTGGGCCGGATTCGGTGCAGCTGACTTTTAATTTAACCCTTCTGACACACGCGTGGTACTAACCCTTCTGACACACGCGTGGTGCACCTCATTGTGGTTCTAGTTTGCATTTCCCTGTCGGCTAATGAAGCTGAACCTCAGTTTTTAAAACATCATTTTTTTTTTCATGTGCTTACTCGCTATCTGTGTGTCCACTTAGGTGAAATGTCTATGACTTGGCCGTTTTCTAATTTTTCTTACTGTTAAGTTTTTATTACAGCTTTACTAATCTATAATTTTCATACCGTGCACTTCACAATAGTAAGAATTACAGCTCCACGGGTGGCTTGAGGTGTGATCACAGTGGCACAGCAATAAGGATCTTGTTCCAAAATATGCTCATCACTCTCCAAATAAAACCTGCATCCATGGAAGTCACTCCTCTGTCCCTTTAGCTCCTGGAAGATATCCAATTCAAGACCAGCCTCGGCTACATCGTGAGACTCTGTCTCAAATCTGTCTCAAAGTAGTCTGCCTTCAGTTCTGTGAGTTGGTCTGTTCTGGACCTTTGAGAAATGGAGGAATATATGTGACATTTTTGATTAGTTTTTTTTCATTTAGCTAAATGTTTTCAGAGTTCATCTATGTTGTAACGTGATCTATCTGTTCCTTATTTAGGTCAAGTAATGTTCCATTCTATGTCTATACCAGATAAAAACAATCTATTGGTTGCTTGACAGATAATCTGGGTGTTCCCACTTGTGGGTTATGCACAGTACTGCTGTTGACATTCATGTACAAGTTTTTTTTTTTTGTGTGTGTGTGCGTGTGTGTGCGTGTGCTCATGCATTCTGTTGTCTCTTAGGTATATACCTAGGGGTGGTATTGCTCGGTAGTTAGCCTTCTGAGGCTGGCAGGCTGTTGCCAGAGTCTCTGCCCTGTTCACATTCCTGTCAACAGTGAGCAAGTGTTCAGAGGTCTCCGTAACCTCCCCCACACTTTTCTTGTCACTCATCAGCAGACCCATCGTAGTGATTATGAAGTAGGGTCTTTTTTTTTTTTTTATTACTGTAGAGTTTTTGTTATGAGACAGGTTCTCACTGTGTAGCCCAGCTAGCCTAGAATTTGCTCTGTAGACACACCCTGGCCTCGAATTCACAGACTTTTGTCTGCCTTTGCCTTCTGAGTGCAAGGATTAAAGAACTGTGCCACCACGCCGAACCCTTCTTTAGAGTTCTTTCACTTTAAAACCAGTCCTATACTTTGAGTCATGGTTTTGGTGTCAAGTCTGAAAGCTCTTTGCTCTGAGCTCTTGGATCCCAAGACCTCCTTCCCCAGGGCCAGCACCCAGCTCTGCAGTGTTCCTCCGTTAACCTGTCTCTGAGGGCCAATGGACAAGAGGGAAGAGGAGAAAGGAACCCCGGGTTTGGACAGCCCTTTCGCTTCACAATCAGTGCCTTTCCCATTCCCCTGCCCCCGTGTTTCTTCCAGACCCTGGAGGAAGAGCTGTTTGGGAACAATGAGGAGAGCCCAGCTTTCAAGGAGTTTTTGAATCTCCTAGGGGACACCATCACATTGCAGGACTTCAAAGGGTGAGTTTTGTCAGAGGCTGACTTCATTCATGGGTGGGGCCCGTGGTGAGGGCCAGGGCAGACAGTTCTGTCCTGAGGGAGCATGGGGCTTTTCCAGCTTCCGATCCTTTGCTCATGCGCCTGCATTCCTGAAGACTCAGTGGTCCCAGGGATAATCTAGAGTGACAGGTTGGCTGAGAGGCAGTGGCCTGGGCAGCATGATGAGGTGGCTCCTGCTGAGGTCTGCCTTCCTAATTACATTTGGCTCACACTGACAGTGAAAGGAATCCACCTTCCCTACCACTTACCTGGCAGGAGAAAGAGAACCCTGTGCTGTTTCTAAGGAAGTGACCCAATTTGGACAACATGCGAAGAACAGATAATTAAGACTTCACGCGAACATAATAACCCTCTTGGCAGAAATCCATGCAGCAGTGTCCAGTCCCTTAAACGGACAGAAAGCTAGATTATTGGGACTGTTGTTTGGAAAACCCTGGCCCTTGATTTTCCTCCGAAAAGGTGACATTTGGGAATATTTCAGACCTGTCCAACTGAGTGACTGGCATGTGGCTGAGAGTCCTAAGATTTGGTCCAGGGGCCAAAACAAGCACCTAACATCTGGTAAAAAGCATTAGTCCAGTTGTCCTAGGCGTTTGAAAATTGCTTTCTTCCTCTGCTTCCTTCTCCTCCCTGCACCCCTTGCTCCATCTTCTACTCACTTTGCAGTCACTACTATTGCCTGGAGTCTGGAGTCAGTCACCCCAGAGTTAGACGACTCCTGCCTCCAGTGCTCACAAGCCCTAAGAGGTTTGACCAGTGACTTTACCTGGAGAACAGTCCAGTTCCTTATCTGTAAAAAGGGAGATAAATGTGAACTTAATAACAACCAACAAGGTCACAGGGGATTAAAACAGATAATGCAGACAAAGCAGGTTTGGAGCCCAAAAGGGCCTGAGGTGTATCTGTTTTTTGTTTTTTTTCCTTCTGGTTGTTGAAGACTGTGGTCCCAGACTGGCAGCCATATTTCTGTGAAGGGAGAAGAGCTGGCTCCTAGAAGGTCATCAGTTCTTTCCCAGTGTCTCCTTCCTGGGATGATACAGATGTGCAGGGAACACTTTGTGTTTGTCTCTACAGAAGCTGGCTGTTCAAAGCGCATCAGCTGTCCCTTCTGTCAGGCCCCAAGTCTCGCATGAATTTACCCACATCCAGTAGAGAGACTGACTGTCCTGGCTCCTGACCAGGGGTCTTGGGGAGCTAGGTCAGGCATCTGTGTGGGGTTATGAATGGCTGGCGGCCTTCTCACTTGAACAGCCACGTGGAGGGTACATAACCAAGGCTTGAGATAGAGGCTTTGCTTAAATTAGTTGGTTAATTTGATTCTGTTGTAAGTCAAAATCTCACTCTATAGTCCAGGCTGGCCACAAACTCCTGCTTTGACCTTTAACGTGCTAGGGTTGCTAACATGTAGCCACCAGGTCCCAGCCACCAGGTCTGCCTCCGTCTCTCATATAGGTGGTTGATTGTAGGACACTTGGCTAGGCTGAGCAGAACCAATCTGCACACCTTCCTGCCTTATACCCTCATTGGCCCTCAGCACTTCCATGTCTTCTCACCTACTTGTTTGCTACCTGTCCTTAGTGGCACCATGACACAGCTCCACCTCACTCCTCATTCTGCTCCTGCGTTTTTTTATGCCAGTTTCCGAGGCGGCCTGGATGTGACCCACGGACAGACAGGGGTGGAATCGGTATACACCACTTTCCGGGACCGGGAGATCATGTTCCATGTCTCTACTAAGCTGCCCTTCACGGATGGTGACACTCAGCAGGTAACCAGGACAGAAGACAGGGCCAAGCTGCAGGTCGCTTCCAAATGACAGATGGGACACTGCAGCCTGGGGTGGCCTGTTAAAACACTTCCTTGAGACTCGGTGTAGCCCCTAGCATGCAGGAGGCCCTGGACTCTGTCTCTAGCACTGAAAGTAGAAGTTAGCACCAGGAAGTCAATGAAGGGTTGAGCTGGGAGCAAAGCAAACAGTGCTGGCAAAGGCCGATAGGAGTCCCGAAAGCGCGTGACTCTCAGCCTGTCGGTGGCCTTGCGGCTTCAGAACATGTGGAGTGGCGTGTGTGTTAGAGGGTTCTGTGGGTTGCCCAACAGCTGGCTCCTGTGAGCCACAGCTGGTGTGTGTCTGCTTCTTGGGGAACCTCTGTCCTGGCCACTCAGCCTTTCTGCTCTTTGCTGCCCTGTGAGTGTGAGGTTTGTAGGAGAATCCTCGCAGCCTCCTTGCCTGTCCGTAGCCTGGGGACTCTGTGAGACCTGTGACCCCAGCATTTGTCAGCTCGCTCCAGGGCAGCTGCTTTGAGCTGCACATCTTTCTGGAGGGTTTGGCTCTTGCAGCTGATTCTGGCTGTTGTGACATTGATCACCTTATCCCACTTCTTTCCTCCTTCCTATTTCAGAGAACACAGAAGGGTGTCCCCCAAGCTCTGACCTGTTTGTGTCTGTCTAGGGCACTGGGAAGGGAGTGGGGATGCAAAGTCATAAACACTGTGCATGGTTTCTTGGGAATAAAAGAAATTGGCAAGCAAATTATGATTTGGCTCCCAAATAATAACTGAATGTTCTAGAAACAAGTGGGTGTGTGATTCCTTGTGTAGCCAAAGTGGGTTTTCCCTGGGAGCCTCACCTTTGGTCCCTGTTTTCTTACAGCCTCCCTCACCTACTGCCCTAGTCTGAGGCTCATTACCTCGGGGCCATTTCAGCCTGGGTGTGCTGCAGAGCTTGGCTCTTGGCAGGAACCAAATCAAAGACAGTTCTTTTCTCTTAAGAAATGGGCGCCAGCAGTGTGTGTGTGTGTGTGTGTGTGTGTGTGTGTGTGTGTGTAATAAGTGAGACAGTTTGCATAAAGACACCCAGTACAATGTTCAGAGCAGACACTCTGTGAATAAGAAACCCTATTTGAAAGAGCTGAGCACAAGTTCCACTTTGAGTGTGCATTTAGTAAAGGACCACAGACGTTGATTGGCAGGGCCTATGTATAGGAAAACCTTAACATTTGTAATCATTCATGCGAACAGCCGTCCACAGTCCCAGGCATATAGTAGGGGCTTGTAACGCAGATCACATGGCAGAGTGCCTGGCATTGTGGGGTTCTGTCCTCTCGTTCTCCCCTAGCCAATAGACCTGCATTTCTCGGAGTGTCCTCACCTCTGGTGGAGTGCTCTGTACCCTGCCTCTTCTGTCTGCATTTCCTCGCCAATCTTGCCCGTGTTTTTCAGGATACCCTCTGCTGCCACCTGCTCTCTCCTCCTAAAGCTGCCAGGTACTTTCTGCCAGACAGTGGCTGATTTACCCTTGGCTGGCAGCTTGGTTAGTGGGTTCAGGTGGCTTCTCCTATGTTTGTGTTTCTTCTAGATAAATTATGACTGGCCTGACATTCTTACATTCTCTCCATGGTCCTCGGTCCAGGCTCTGTTGAGTTTAGTTACACTCAGGCAGGCCAGCTGTTACCTAACAACATGGCCATCTTCCTCCCTCTCCCTCTTGGTCGTACTCACAGATTGAGAGAAACAGCTCCCCAAAGAGCTGGACCTCAGAGCTCAGGGTTTGTGAAAGCTGGAAGAAAGAGGGATTTGCTGCTAAACTCTTTTGTTTAGGGAGGTTCCTAACTCTCTTGTAACAACAAAGTACTTTCTGTTTAGTTGCAGAGAAAGCGGCACATTGGGAATGACATTGTGGCCATCATCTTCCAAGAAGAAAACACACCGTTTGTCCCAGATATGATTGCTTCAAACTTCTTACATGCCTACATTGTTGTTCAGGCTGAGAGCCCAGGCACAGAGACGCCATCCTACAAGGTAAGGAAAAAGCCTCATTGGTGTGTGTGTGTGTGGGGGGAGAGGAAATCAGTCACAGGCCCAGGTACATCCCTAGGCATGGTGGGCTCAGTGACAGCAAAAGACACTAGATCTTAACTGGGCAGTGGTGACACATGCTTTAATCCCAGCACTTAGGAGGCAGATGCAGGTGGACCTTTGAGTTTGAGGCCAGCCTACGCTACAGAGCAAGTTTCAGGAAAGACACCAGGTCTTAAAAGTATTGCACTCCCCATGGTTGGTCTCGCTTCTGAGATTGGAGCCTGGCCCTTGGTGGAAAGCATCTTCCACGATCATCTCCTGCATCCTTCCTCTAGCTCTTCAGATTCTCACTCAGTAGTCCAGAAGCCCCGAGTACTGAGCTTTGGATATGGTGATAGCATTTGCTAGAGGAAGTCTGAGGAAGAGGAGAGGATGGCCAGGAAAGGGAAGAGAAAGATGGACAATGGGAAGACAGAGGCTAGAGGGGACTCACGGACCCTGGCTCCTGCATCTGGATAATGTGAACAGATGAATGGCTTTAACTGGAAGATTTCTGTGAGAATGCAAGACCTTGGTGATGCTACCGACTGGGGGCTTTTAGTTTTTCTTTCTAAGATCCATGAACGCTAGAAATGTCACGCTAGCCACTGGTGATGATACATGCCTATAATCTCCAGATCCCAGCAGATGTGGGGGCAGGGTCCAGGGGCATGAGAGTTCCAAGCTAGCCTGGTCTACAAAGACCCTGTAAAAAATAAAAAGAGGATGAGGAGGGTGTGGGAAGCAAGGTGGATTAAAGAAAGTTGGATTTAGTCAGTGCATATTGTATGCATGTGAGGAAATAATACACTAAACTCCATTAATAAATATAATCAATACATGTTAATTAAAGAAAAGAGAGAAGGAAGGGCCACTTGCTGTAATGGGAGGCGGTGTGTGGAATGCATTAGACTGTTCTGGCTCCCAGCCCTCAGCATCAGAGAGACAGGACACATCAGAGAGAAAGTTCCCTTGCTCCTCACTGGCCGCTTCTTCACCTTCCTGTTTTTTCCTAACCTCCAGGGCAGCACGTCTCTGTGTTCCATTGGTTTGAGGGGTCTGGGATCCATGGGAGATAGGCTGAGTCAGAAACTTTAGGGTGAGGGCTAGGTGGTCACCAAGTGGCGAGTTTCTGCTTTTCTTTGTTTCCTGGGAAGAGAGACCAGAGCTCAGATTCCCAGAGTGTTGCCTACATCACAATGCTGGGTATCAGCATCTTAAGCAGAAGGAGAAATGCACATGCCATTGCAAACGGGAGAACTGAGGCTGGGAATGTGTACTAGATACTGACCCAGGCCCTTGCGGCTTTCCGAGGCTTGCTGTGGCTTAGCCATCTTCAATGCCTTCACAATGGTGATTCCTCTGCTTTGTCAATTTAGAACTGTAGTAAGTGCAAAAGTCTTGTCAACTTTTAAAACCAAGTATGAGATGTATAAAAAGTAAAAGGAAAGAAAGAAAGAGAAAAAGAAAGAAAGGAAGGAAGGAAGGAAGGAAGGAAGGAAGGAAGGAAGGAAGGAAGGAAGAAAGAGCTCTTGGGCTGGGGATGTGGCTGTCAGTAAAGTGCTTGCTGTCCAAGCACAAGGACCCGAGTTCAGATCCTGAACACCCATATAGGAAGCTGGTTGCATTTGTAATTCCAGCACTGGAGTGGCAGACACAGGAAGATCTCTCAGGTCAGCCAGTTCAGCCAAATAAAGTTTCAGTGAGAGACCCTGTCTTAAAAGATAAGGTAGGACCAGCCGAGGAAGGTGGATCGCTGAGAGTTTGAGTCCAGCATGAATTCCAGGACATCCAGGGCTCCAGAGAACCCATTGCTAAACAAACAAAGACCAAACAACAACAATAACAACAAAATAACAGTAATAATAAGCACATGTAGATGGCTCAAGTGGGTAAAGGTGCTTACTACACAAGTCTGGGGACCCAGGTTTGATCACTGGTACCCACTCACTACCTGTGAGGAGTACCTATTCCCCAAATGTCCTTTGACCTCCACGTACACCCTACCCCCATATGCACAAAGATACATGCTCATGCTTTTTGTATGTGCATGGCTGTGTGTGCCCCTCTGACACAGCACAATCTAGCCTGCTTTGACTGAAATGGGCATTCAGTTTACAGTCACTGCTAGACACAGGCTTTCTTCTTCTGTGCCTTCTGTGTGCTGGGAACACTGGGAAACAAGGAAGAACTGGCTTTGCTGACCCCAGGCAAGGGACAGAGGAACCAGTGAGTGCAATTCAGTCAGGGCAGCAACATAGCCACCCTGCTCCTACTGAGGAAGGCTTGGATTCGCGACCCATGCCTGTGTCTTCCAAGGTGCTCTCCAGAGTGCTGCTCACCCAGTTCCCCCCTCCCCGCAGAGGCACCATGGGCGTCTCAAACTGTGAGGAGGACTGGGTGACACTGGGCTTTAGCTGAACCCTACAGGAGGAAGACAAGAAACAAGGAAGAAGAGTAAAGGAGGGAGGGACCCCAGCAGCCTGGGATCTCTGCCTCTGCTCTGTCTCTTTGTGCCCTGTGTGGTTGTCATCCCTGGGCTTCTATTTCTATCATTGCAAAACCAGGAAGTTGGATTATATAACCTCAGGGAGTCTTCTAGCCCCAGCCACTTGTGGAAACAGAGATAGAGGCAGGGTGGGGTGTGGGCTGCCAGGTGCATTGGGGAGCTCTGTATTTAAGGTGCCCTTTTGTACATGTCGTCCGGTTGGATAAGTAAAGACAAAAAAACTGAGCGATAGTGGTTACCACTCTGTGTCGGGCTCTGCATTACGGCAGTCTATTTCTACATTCATTTGTGTGCGAGTGTTCATGCGTGTGTGTGTGCATGTGTGTGTGTGCATTTATGTATGTGTGCGTGTACGTGCGTGTGTGCATATGGAAATCAGAGGCTGACTTACAGGAGTCAGTTCTCTCCATCCACAATGTGGCTCCTGGGGCTCGAACCCAGGTTGTTGGGTTTAGCGGCAAGTGCCTTTACCCGCAGAGCCATCTCACTAGCCCTTGAATAGTCTTGAAGCCTAACAAGTCCCATTAGCCTGCTCATAGTTACAAGATTGAGATTGATTGCTGCTGAGGACACTTAAAGCTGAGGCCACTGAGTCAGGGAGCCTGGAATTGGAAGTCTTCCCAGGAGCCTTTGGGGCAGGTGAGAAGCTGGCTCCATGAGTGTGCATGAACTGTGACTCTGAATTACTTTCCAGGTAGGAGTTTAGTTCCCGTCACTATAGATTGGAAAGGGATTCCAGCTTGGCAATCAATGGGATTCCCCCATCCTATCCCCAGGGGCCACTCCACCCCACTCCAGAAGTTCTGCCGAGGTTCCAAGACTCTTCTGTGAAGCAGGCAGCTGCTTCCCTGACCATCATGGCTTATCTGAACAACCCTGCTGGTCTTCTGGTTGGCAGGCCATTCCTGGACACTGTTGGGTCTCCAGGCCTTATGCTCTCAGTTCCCATAGGCATCTGGTTGTCCCCATTCTAGCTTTAAAGATGCTTCCCCCAGTGACCTGCCCCTGCTTTCTCCCAGCCCATGCCCACATTAAATTCAGTGCTTCTGCTTTCTGAAGCGAGCTGAGAGGAGGGGGTGACAAGGGCCTAGCTGCCTGGTAAGACTGAAGTCAGCGGAGGAGCTGGGATGAGGATGGGTGATGGATGGACATGACCAGAAAGGACTTGGATCCTGCCCCTGCTGACCTGTGGACTTAAGGGCACATCTGAGCCACTTACTCTGTCAGCACAGACTACTTTAATGCAGGCCCGAGGGGGAGGGGCCCAGGGAAACAGCTGGGCCAGCGTCTGTGCTTTGTCCCAAGTGTCCCAGATACCCACGGTAGGCAGCCAAATTCTTGCTCTAAGATGGAATTCTAGACTTGGGCCACTGGTGCATGGTAGGTGGATGCATCGGGGGGGCTATGCCTGGCACCTGGGGCTCAGCCAAAATCTTGTCAGTGAACACAAACCATTTCTTGACTCTGAGTACCTCAGTTTGGGCCATGCCGACAGCCTTGAGCTTGTAGGAAGAATGCCCCATTGACCGAGGCTCTGCTTCTTTTCCCCCCGGACCTGGCAGGGCCTTATTTTGGCTGGGCACCAGACTGCCTGCTCACCCAGTCTGGCAGACTATTGCATCTGCCCTACTTCACAGGCCAGAGCGGTTGGCAGCATGCCAGGGCCTTCACGTCAGCCACTGCTAGGGAAGGGATAGGGCAGCCTCCACAGAGCCCTGTAGCCTTAGGGGCCGACAGCAGGTAAGACCAAGATAGTTGCATGCAGAGAGGAGGTGAGGAGTGGAAGCTGCCTGCTTCTAGGACCACCCTTATGCAAAGTCCCCGGATGTTCTTACAGTCTGGTCTCACAGCGTGTGGCCGGAGCCTGGCTGCTCACATCCTCATTCCCAGTCAGTGCCTTTGGTATCTGTGCTCAAGCTTCAGCCAGACTGACTGACTGTGTAGAGCCAGGCTCCAGACCTGGGTCCACTGCCTGTGTGAAAGCTCCCAAAGAGCTCCAAGCTCTTGTCCTTGCAACCAGTATTTGCATTTTCCCCAAAATTGAATTATTTATTGTTGTTACAGTAATAGTTGTTGCTGGTGTGTGTGTGTGTGTGTGTGTGTGTGTGTATGTGTGTGTGTGATGTGTTGGGAGAACCACAGATACAACTTTTGGGAGTCAGTTCTCTTCTGGAGACCTTAAGGCTTGTGTGGCAGGTTTTTTTTTTTAAACCTGTGGCACCATCTCCCTGGCCCAGTATTTACTTTTTAAATACCCAAAGTGGGTTTGATATATGAACAGGTTTGGGGGTCACTATAGTGGGAGCAAACCTCAGCTATGTTTGTGTGGTCTAGATTCTCTGTACTCCTTTCTCTGGCTTTGGGTTGTTGGTTCCATCTCTTTTCTCATCAACAAAATGGGCAGTAATTCTCAGTTGCCTTCTCCGGGACGAACACTTACAATGGGGTAATGAAATAAACCTTCTGGCCACCTGTACTGTCTTGTGATCAGGGTCCCAGCCATTCCACAGCCCAAGGCATCACCCTGCTAAACTTGCTTTTGGCCCCTAGCAAGGCAGAGGGAAGGATGCAGGCTCCCATCCCATCCAGCCCATTATAGGAGCATCATTTGGGGCTTGCGGGTGATGCTCGCACAGACATTCTGTGTCCTGGGAAGGGGGAGGTATGAGTTGGTCTGTAAGAAGTGGGATTTCTCTTCTGTCTCAGCTCATGCCAGACCTTTCCGTGCAGGTATCAGTCACTGCAAGGGAAGACGTGCCTGCCTTTGGCCCCCCTCTGCCAAGCCCACCTGTTTTCCAAAAGGTAAAAATGTCTTCTACTATTCTTGCCATACTCGGGACCCCAGGTCTGTCCACCTGAGCATCAGTGGTTGGAAGAGGACTTCCAACTGTGAGCCTTGCCAGGGAGGTCCTGGCTCTAGGGTTCTCTCCTTCCTGGATATCTCCCTGCCTTACCCTTTGGGGCCAGTCTGGCCCTTGTTGGGACATTGATGATGGGACTGCCTTCCTATGAGGAGCAGGACTTCCATACTGTGCTCCAGGCCAGGTGCCATGTGGAGGGTGGGTTTCCCAGTACTGGGGCAGCTGGCTTCCATGACGGCATATTAACAGGTGGGGCTGGCCTTGGCTGGATATGACCAGATGTGAGAAGGGCTCTTGCAGGGGCTGTCCCCATCCTCCCCTGTTCTTTCTGTTACAGTGGTTGGAAGCATTTTGCCTACAGCCGAGGCTAGGAGAATTCTGAGCCCTCTTATCTGTTTCAGGGCGCAGAATTCCGGGAGTTTCTGCTCACCAAGCTCACAAACGCAGAGAATGCTTGCTGCAAGTCGGACAAGTTCGCCAAGCTGGAGGTGAGAGCGCTGGATTGAACGTCTCCTCTGGACTTGCTCTCAGTGTCTTTCAGGGTTCTCACCATGGTGCTTGTTCAATTGGGGAAGCTTTGCTCCCTCCAAAGCTCTCAGCTCTGTGTTGCTTTGGGAACTCTTTCTTTTTTTCTTCTTAGGAACTCACATAGACTCTAGATCTCACCAGCCAATCCCTGGTTCTTTACTGAACATGTATTATGCCCAGGTCTCGTTCTGTTATCAGAGATAAATGACAAATTCCTTCCGCTGCTGTGAGTGCACAGGCCTTTACTGAAGAGAAATTGTGGTTTATAATTCCGTGTGCTGTGCTATACTCTGGGTTGTGAGAGAGCCAGTGGGTAGTGATTGCTTCTGCTAGGGAAGACAGAGGGTGTGTTCAAGGAGGGCTTCTTGGAGGAGGTTGCCTTTGAGCTGCAAGAGAGTCTGGAAAGTCATTCCAGACACAGGGAATAGTCAAGGGCCAAACAGAATCGGATGCTTTGGGGTGGGAGATGTGACGACAGCTCATGTGGCTGGAAGGTGGGGCTCAGCTGCAGATGGCGGTTGCATTAGATGGAGAGAGGCGGGGGCTTCCAGGGGGTGGATGCTATGAAGTGTTCAAGCAGTGTTTGAGTCGCACATTAGAGGCGTCATTAGCTAGTGTGTGTTAGGGGAGGAGAAGGGGTTGAAAGGGAGCTAGGACAGGAAACTGGAGGTACTGGTTTAAACTGTGGGTAGGTGTGTCCAGCCAGAGGATGGCAAGCCACATGTGCCCCAGGATAACCCTGAATGTGTTCCAAGACAAAATCATAGACTAATAAGTATAAAACATTATGAATTGTCCCCCCGGTGACCTGACTGTTCTTATAGATGACAACATTGTGCCACAATGTCAAAACATTGGACGTTCCTCTAAAGTCAGGGTTGGGAAGACACTCCTAGAAGTAAGGGTGGGAAAAGTGGGATTATAGGGTGACTCAGGCTTTGAGCTTAGGCTCTGTGGTGACATGGAGACCATTAGGAGAGGAGCTTCCTTGGGACTGTGGCCTGCTGAAAGTGCTTGTCCAGTTTGTGTAAATGGAGCCCCCTGGAGGCTGCATGCATGCCCATGGCTGATCCTTGACTGTTGGAGAGCCATGGGCCAAGGACTGTGGATATAGATCTTAGTCTGAGATCTGGCCTGGGCATCCCTAGGGCAAGCCTTGGAAGAGGTGGTATGGCCATGGAGAGAGAGCAGGGGTTGACCGGGAAAGTTTGTGCTAACTCTGGCATTAGTGAGCATCCTCTAAGACCGCACTATGGTCAGGAGCTGGTGACAGAATGACAACCCTCAGACCAGGCATCGGGAGCACAGAGGGAAGTGCACAGGTGGCGTCTGCACACTGCGTCTACCCTTCCTTTCTAGGACCGGACCCGGGCTGCTCTCATGGACAACCTTCACGATGAACTTCACACACACACACAGGTCATGCTAGGCTTGGGCCCTGAGGAGGACAAGTTTGAGAATGGCGGCCATGGAGGATTCTTGGAGTCTTTTAAGGTATGACTTGGGGTTGCTGTGGCAGAGGGCAAAGAAAGCAAGCAGCTAAGTTACTGGGAATATGGCCTCAGAGCCCAAGGGCCAGGTGACAGGCTAGGGTGGTCCTTGCAAAGGGCTGGGGCATTGTGTATGAGGTTGGAGCAACCGACGAGGACTACAGTGACCTCCATGCTCTTTCTTGGCCTGGACCATCGTCAGCCCAGGAATCCCCTGGGCAGGTAGGCGAGTGAGCGGAGGAGAGGAGGCCACATGAACTAGGAACCTCGCTGTTTCCACCTGCGCCCTCCGTGGTCCGGGAGCCCAGGGAAGAACGGTGGGAGTGAGGCCACAAGCTCTAGGGGTCTTCAGCAGCTGGGTGGGATGCTGCGTAATTCTTTATTACTGGCCAAGCCCTGGGACCTGGCTGGGGAGGGTGGGTGGAACTGCAGCCAAGTCTCTCTAGCATTGAAAAGGGAAAAGTTTTATCCAGAAGGAGCTTCCTGTCCCCTGTCGCCTGTACTCAGGAGGAGGCTGGGTGGCCACAGAACCAGTGAGGAGCAGAGACGGTTTCATTGCCATGTCCTGGCTGAGTGCTTGCTGTCCACACAGCGTTTACATTGGCATCTGATCTAAACCTGACTGTAATGGTTTGCGTTTGGCTACATAGTATTTCTCAGTATTTCCTTTAACATGGGGTGGGGTGGTGGGGCTGGAGGACAAGGTACAAGAGGCCATAGGGTCTTAGCAGTACCTCAGACGTGGGACTTTGTTCCTACCTAGACTTTCTCAAGGTTCTGCCAGGTCTGTCTCCCATCAGAGAGATTTATAAACCATGACATTTTGAGAGGCTGGTGTGCGGATTGGGGTTACATGTATTTTAAAATCCCAACTATAGGGTACTAGGGAAGATCTTTAAAGTCCCTAAGCTCCAGTTTTCTTGTTAAGGACCCAGAGATAATAAACTGGACCTCTGCCACTGTGTCATGAGAGTTCATTGGAATAATGCCCAGAAATTGCAGATTGCGCGTGACACAGTAAATACCCTAAGCTGTTGTAACAGGGCACACATAAACTGCTGTACAGGTTGCCTATAATCTTAAACCTCCCAGCTGTCATTAGTGCTCTGTGGGGAAGGCTGGTTTTATGGATGTAATAATTTTGGCATAATAATTCACATTCAATTTTAGTGATTGTGAATATTGTTTTACATGCAAGGAAACAAAGACGCAGAGACGAAATAATCTGTCGCAGGTCACCCTGGAGACAGAGTTGAATTCAGGTCTCCCAAATTCTTACCAGCTACATGATACTCCCTCCCGGTTTCTGACCATGAAGATTCCACCCATGCCGGCCAGGCTTGGGCAGGTCTGGGTCAGCTGTGCACTGCCCAGCTGGACAGTGAGAGCAGACCACAGCCCTGCTGGCCCTAGCTAGAGCCAGCTGCTGAGATTCCTCCTGGGGGTGGGAGAAGCCAAGCTGCCTGTCCAGGCTGGTAGGAGATTCCTGGGGCTTCTGGTTTAGTCTTGATAGAAGTGTCCAGGGAAGAGGAGAAATCGGGGGAATCTAGATGCAAGAGGAGCTGGGTGTTGGAGGTGGATGCCCGTATTGCTAGCATTTGGGAAGCAAGTAGCATGCTGTGTTTAAGGATGGGTTGGGCTACATAGTGAGACTCTGTTTGCCTTTGGGTAGAGAAGAAAACAAAGAAAGATGAGGGAGTCATGGTGGATAGAGAGCCTCGCCAAGAGGAGGGTGAATGTGTGGCCAGGTCATAGGGAACAGGCTTAGGCCTGGGGAGGCAGAGGAGCAGCCACTTAGAGAACTTCTGATGCTCTGGGGGCTCTGTCCCACCTCATATCACACCTATCAAAGTGTACCACCTCCCACAGTAAATTAATTTATATGGAACAATTGGAGTTGAGCTACACTTGACGAGCTAGCACCATGCTGTGTTTTGCAGACATTTTATGAAGCATTGTCGCTTTGAGCTTTACAGGTTCCCTTTATACTTTAGAGCAGTGTTGTTTTTTTGTCGGGTTTCAGATATTTATGTAACACTGTATGTAGGCTGTGGACATTCTGCCCATGGGGTTCAGTGGATGAGGTGGCCCAGCAGCTAAATGCAGGTGACAGATCTAAAGGACAGTGGCCCAAGGCCATTTTGCCCAGTCTTTTGCATCTGTTAGGAGTAGTAGCAGCGTCACCGCAGGGTGTCTGAGGTTTTCCTAGAGAGGCTTTCAAGAGGGAGCATGCTGCAAGACTCTATTATGACTGTCCAGTGAGCCAGTATTCTTTTTAATTCTGTGGTTGAGAATGGACCTGCTTTTTTCCATTCAGAGTTCACACCTGCCTTTGAGGCGGAAGTAAATGGGGCCATGAGGGTCAGGCACACAGAGGGAGCCTTCGGGCTATGTGTGATAAAGGAGCTGTGTCTCACTCCCTCTTGGAAGGTACTTATCCCTAGACTGCGGGTCTGTAATGAAGTCAAAAGAGTAAGTGACAATTGTTTCGTCTGTGTGATAAGCATGCAACACATAGGGACCATGGTTTGAGAAACCTTGACTGGCTCAACCTTCCACTGACCTCATAATGCCGAGACAGGAGTAGAAGACAGTGGGGCAGAGTTAGGACAGCCAGGAACAGGGAGGAAGCAGGCTAATTTCTCTTAGCATTTGAGGAACTGGGAATTGGTATGGCGGTGCTTTGGTCTCACCTGATCCTTGGTGGTAGGAGTGGTCACAGGCATCTCTGACAAAGTCTTGGGGAGTCCTGTAGCCACAGGCAGGGGCAGCCCAAGTCATATCACTGATTGTGGAGGGAGGACTGGGGGAGGGCAGACATGGGCCCCAACCTCTGACACCTTTGTCACCCCTTTTTCTCCTGGGAGGGGAAGTAGTGGTACCAGAACGGTTGTAAGCCTTTGGCGGTACAGTGAGATACACTCTCACACACACACCCTTTGGTGGTACAGTGAGATGCTCTCCCCCCCCCCTCACACACACACACACACACACACACACACACACTCACTCACTCACTCACTCACGCACACATGCACTCACGCACGCATGAACAGGGGTGTGTGTGGCGGGTGGAGGTGGGGGGAACATTCAGGCCTTGGGCTTGGCTCTGCTCAGCTCATGGTTTGGAGCCATAGACTGTAAGTTGCCATCCTTTTCCTGCTAGAGGAACAGAAGACCCTGACTAAAGCCTTCTCAGCAGGCAGGAGATGAGTGTCTTTATCTCAGAGGCCCCTGCCTCGGTTCTTTCCTGGGGTTCGGATGGGCACATCCCACTTGGTGGGGCTCATCTCCTTGACTTTTGTCCTGGTGTTGACATTGTTAAATTGGAACATCTCATAAACCTTTTTGTAAGGAGGCAATGGTGCTGGTGGCTGCAAGTCAAAGCAACTTGTTCTGAGAAGCCAGCTGGGGCAGAGATGAGGTGACACACGTGGGCAGTCAGAAAGCAGTGCATTTATCCGTCCTCACGCCTCACAGGAGAGCTCCATGGAAGGCAGCAGTGCGGTGTGCTGAAGGCTGGGGGGCCACGGGGCTGAGGGAGATTGGTGGAGTCAGAGTGGTTGGCCAGGAGGACATGATAGAAAAGGCCAGTCCAAGGCTTCAAGGTTTAGAAATTTAGGTGAGATACAGTTCTGTATACACGAGAACTTTCCATTGGTCATGCTACCCATTACTAGAATGAGCAGATGGTCCCTGGGGTCAGGTGAGCTTTTCCAGATAGGGGTGAGCCAGGTGCAAGTCAGTCTAGATAGTCCCCTCTGCCCCTTTCTGTCTCCCCCATTTGCCCCCCTCTATATTCTGACTCTGTTGCCCAGGTTGAGTGGGCCAGCTCTTCCATTCAGTTGCTCATTGTGCTGTGATGTGGGATTCTTTAGATGTCACTGGACAGTTTCATTCAAAGCAAGCCTTGTTTGGGGTCTTAGTGATGATGTCACTTGTCTTTCACGCTAGGATTGGGGCAGGAGAGCTAGCCTGGAGTGGGCAGGTGTCATCCCAGGTGTTGGGTATGCACTGTCTCATTTCATCCTTGTGACAGCTCCTGGCAGGTACCATGGGAGGACCAGGACTCCACCCTTCCTGCTGCAAGAGCAGGAGAGCAGGTGACTGACAACCTGTCCAGCCCGAATTCTGTCAGTTCATTGGCAAAGAGAACCTGAGGGTTCTCTTTGTTGACTCAGACAGTGGCACATGGGCATCTGAAGCCACCTTCCTCCCTCACATCAGCCTTTGATTTTTTTTTTTAATGAGAGTGAGATCCCCAAACCTCCTGCTTCCTAGTCATCTTTAATTAATCAGTGAGTCACTCCATCTTGACCCTCGACTCCATCACCATCTCCTCATTCTCTCCTCTCACCTCTCTCCCTCTTCCCATCTTTTCCCCTTTCCCCCTCCTTCCCCCACCACCATCCCTCCTCTTCTCCTTTCCTTTCCCCTGATTCTTTTGGGGATAGAGTCTTACTATGTAGCCTAGGCTGGCCTTAACCTCTCAAGTCTCCCAAGTTGCATGAATTACAGGCATGCACTACCATTTCCAGCTTTGAATTTTCAATCCTAGGACCTGGGATACTAGATTTGGATCCCAGCTCTATCTCTTATTAGTGTGTGACAGTTATTTATTACTTGGGAGATTTTTTTATTCTTCCTATGCCTCAGCCTTTTAAGGATTCAATAAGATTGTGTATGAAGGTTCCTTAGACCAGATACACGGCACAGGGTTTATTATTCACACTTAGATCCCTTCTGAGAAAGAGACAGTGAGGACTAGATCAGAACACAAGTGAAGAGTGTGAAATGTTGGTGCCACTGGTAGTGTCAGTAAAGGGAACAAGCATATAAAAATGCTGGCATTTATGAAACATTAATGTTACTTAAGGACCCTTTTTCTCTGATCCAAGACATGTCAGATATCCTCAGATTTTAAAGAGTACATGATTGTATGACGCTGGAGTGGTAGAATGACTCAAACATGCTGGCTCTTGCAACCATGTCCCAGAAACACCGTTGCTAGGCAACTCTTCTGTGGTCCAGAGGGGAGAGGTGACATCCCTCATGGGGGCATCTTTGATTCAGACAATAGAGGCTAAACGATGTCAATTTGAGGCGGTATCTCACACCTTTTGTTGGTGGCTTGTCTTGAGGGCTGTTACATCTAGCAGCAGCCTCTCTGAGTCTCTGTCCCTTGTCAGGAGGGAATGGCATGTAGAATGAGGCCCGTTGCCAGTCCCAGGTCTCAAAGGTGTCCCTAGGGTCCCGAAGAGCAGTATTTGTGCCGACTTGGAGCTCTTCCTGGATGTCCCGAGGGAAGAAGGGGGCTTTGCTCTTCCTCTGGAGATATCTGATATTGGGCTCATGGGGTGAGCACATGCCTGAATTCAAAAAGGCAGAAGTGGGTTGTAACTTAGGCCATATCTGCTTCCTGGCGTTAGGGTGACAGGCACACACCATGGTGAGGAAAATCCACTAATTACTGTAGTGAGAAGTCCAGGTGATTCCGACTGGCTTAGTGAGGCAAAGCTCACACTCTTTCCCTGCTTCCCCTGTGTAGCCCAGGGCTCTTCAGCCCTGTCATCAGGTTTGACTTCCCAAATGGCTCCTGTGCTCTCAGCTGCTTTTCCCCCAAAGCCACCAGCAGACATTCTTCCTGTTAATCTAGCAAGGGATGAGTTAAATGAGTGCTTTAGACTGAGCCTGGGTACTTTGCATCCCAAGGAGGAGGAGGAGGCATTGGACTGGATGTTGGTTCGCCGACTGGAGTTAGGTACCTGTACTTGAGGCACGAATAGTGCAGGTGTCCAGGAGCCTTTGCTCTTTGGGCCTAGAGCAGCTGGTTGACACATAGAGACCATCATCACAGGCACTGGATCTTGCACTGTAGCCGACTCTCAGGTGTGTTCTTGGGCGCTCTTTGGACGCAGTGCCCCTTTGGCCTCAGGCCTGCAGTTCTAGCACTTGATATGGTGCTGAGAAGATAGGAAACACATTATGCGTAATATTAACAACGTGAGGAGCTACATTTGTGGTGCACTGCGCTCTCTATTAAGAGATTTGTATGTTTTCGTTGCTACTCCTTTGTAGACACACCCTGTCCCATTCCACACAAGTCTCAGAGAAGCTAAGCAACTTGCAGGGTCCCCAGCTAGTAGACGGTGCAGCAGAGAGCCCAGCCAGGAATTACTCCTGGCAGCACCAGCTAAGGCTTTTGTGCTTTTGATCAGCAAGTTGTGTTGTCTGACCATCTTGTTAAGAAACTAGAGAGATGCTCAGAGGACAGTGATGGAGGGTTGGGGTCACTGGAGGAAACCTCTTCAATATAAACACCTGCTTTAAGCACCTCTGTAGTAAAAGAGAGTGTTATCCTTAGGGGAGCCAGGATCCTGTAGTACTTTTGTTGCCTGGAAGTCTTCCCATAGATGGAGCTGAGTTCCAGCATCATAAACACCCCTCTTTGGTCATGTGCAGAACAGCATTGCCCTCCAGAGAACTCTGGGGAGGGATTGCCACCCAGGTCCAGCTCTTCCAGGGGCTCAGTTAATGTTCTTAGAGCTTAGTTATTCTCATTTTCTCATGCACCATGACAAACCTGACTGTCCTGCTTGTCATTGGCCTGATACTTGACAGCTTGCCAATACCCAGCCCACCCCATCTCTCCCCACCCATTGCTCTTTGTTGGCCACAAGTGAATGCAGGGTTCCACAACCCCAGCAGCCCCTGCCTGTGCCCAGTCTGAGCCCATATCTCTTTGAACAGCCTTGCAGGCCTGTAGTGTTGATCAGGAAAGTGTGTCTTCAGCTTCTGCAAGCCCAAGTAAGGGCAAGCTGCAGCTCCAACGCACAGATGCTCAGGAACTTGTTCCAGAGTTCTACAAGGGCGGTTGTAGCTACACAAGGCACACCTGTGGTGACAGTGGGAAGGGCAAGTCCAATACACACTTAAGAGAGGAAGCTTAGCTTTGTGAACAGCGCGGTTGGTTAATGATGTAGCTCGGTGGTGGGGCTTTTGCCACACCAAAACATAAAAGTCAAAATAAAAAGGGGTCAGTGCTCAGTCTGGCACTGGTGTTCAGTCCCCAGCCTGTGTGGAACGTGTGACAGTCATTTTAAAGACAAGAAACCCCTAAGAGATGTTGAGTTGTTAGCTAGACAGTATCATTGAGGTTTGGTGAGCTCCAGGCCATGCTTCCACTTCCCATGAACGGAGGGTACTAGGTTGGCCCACCTTGTACCACTGAGCCCTCAGACCCTGCCTGGACAGAATTTAGAGAACTCCGCAAACACCCAGTACTGAGGAGTGGGTTTGTGACTATTTGCGTGTTCATGCTAGTATATACATACATGTGTACATGTGAGGCCAGGACAGATTAGTCCCGAGGGATCAGGTACTGACCAGGTCTCTCAGACCTTTGTCACTTCCCACCCCTTGCAGAGAGCCATCCGTGTGCGTAGCCATTCCATGGAGACCATGGTGGGCAGCCAGAGGAAGCTGCACGGTGGGAACATTCCTGGCAGCCTCAGTGGGGGTATTGTCCACAACGGCATGGAGGTCACCAAGACCACTTTCTCGGTGAGTACTTTGGATCCTGGGCTAGCATGTGTGTGCGGGGAGGTTTAGGGAGGAGGGGTTTGTCCTACCCAAGGTTTGGACTGGGCAACGCAAGCTGGACGATGGGCTGGGGACACCGAAGCTGCTAGGAGCTGTAGGTCACCTACCCAGCCTCTGCTAGATGACAGTGGTCCTGTGGCAATTCCATGCCAGGTTGCCCCCGGGGTTGGTTTGTACTATGAATTGTCTTCTGAGTTTAAGAACTGAGCTTGGGTGCTCACGAGGGAGACCCTGTTAGTGACAACAGTGGCCACCCAGCTTGCTCTGCACCAGGTACTGAGCTGGTGATTGATATACGAGACCCTATCTGACCCCTATCACGATTGTATGAATAGACACAGGGACACGCTCCCTTCCACACTTTAGGGAAAGGAAGCTCAGCAAAGCTAGGTAACTTACCAAAAGTCACCCAGCCAAGATGAAGGGCTGGGGTTTGAGTGCAGGACTTCTTGATACAAAGTTTAGCTCTTTATACTGTGTGTTCAGTTCTCAGGGAGAGACAGCCCCACGGGTCTGTGAGCTTAGGACTCTTGATTCACACCAAGGGCCCGTGAGAGAACCACATAACCAGCCATTAATAAGGCAAGTGGCTTTTGACCTGGACGAACTGGAATTTTCTTTGGAAAAAATTCTAAGCAGCAGAATAGACTGACCGAGATGCTGATTTTTTTTTTTATAAATGGTCTGGAGCAATGGCTTGATTTACCTAATATTTTCCACATCTACTGTCTTGTTTCTCTCAGAAGGTTATGATAACCGCAGAACAGGGTGATTTTTTTGTGGATGGGGAAACTGAGGCCCTAAGAGTTTGACCATTCTCCCAAAGTGACACAATACGAGTGGCATTGGAGCCGGAGTTAGAAACCTAGCAGGCTCCAGGCTTTTATCCCTTCTTGCTCAAACTTTTACCTTTGTGTCCCCTTCCCATCATGAGTCTGGGAATCCTCAAGCAGAGTACTTGACCAGCTTCCCACTGCCATCAGTGCTTGTGAACTCGGTTCAGTGCTTTTATTTGGTTTGTTATTGCAACTCCTGCCTGGGTCCATTTATTCACAAGCAGTGGTGGGGAGTCAGGAGCCCTGGGTCCTTACTGCTAGCTGACTCTGACACACCCCTCCGTTTTCTTCTGGTTCTTGACTTTCTCAGTAGCAAGGTGAAAGGTCGCAGCTGACCACTCCAAGGGCTCTCTAGATTTTTTAGTCTGTGATTCCCTAAATCGCCCCAGCCAGCTCAGCATCTGGCCCTACTATGGTGACCCTGTGGTCCTCCAAGAGCTCTTGGATCATTACCTGCCGCCACAGACTTAGCATAAGAACAAGAGAGAGGCTGTGAGTGGCTCAAGTGTTGGGGTCTCAGTCATTGGTGTTTTCTGGGGTCTCAGCAAACCAGAGAAGGGTGGAAAGGAAGGGTGGGCATGCACACTCACTGTGGCATTTTTATTGGCAGCCTCCGGTGGCCGCAGCAACCGTGAAGAACCAGTCACGCAGCCCCATCAAGCGACGGTCGGGACTCTTCCCCCGCCTGCACTCGGGCTCTGAAGGCCAGGGGGACGGCCGGACACGATGGTAATTGTCAGGGCCTGGACTCCATCCCAGCTATGGGGCCTGCCAGCTCTCTCCTCCTTGTAGCTGTCAGGTGACCAAGCATGGGGACAGGTTTTCCCAGTGTCAGGCTTCCCCTTCAGGCTTCCCCTGAGCCCTGGCCTCACTACCTGTGCATCCTGTCACTTGTGCTTAGAAGAGAGTCCCTGGTTGGGAGAGCTGGGCAGTGATGGGGAGAGATGCTGATGCAAAGAAAGTGAACGGATCTGTCTGACTGCTCAGAGAGGGTGTGTAGAGCCCCAGTGTCCACAGACAAGTGGAAGACCAAGAGCTGGCAAAGACAGCTGGGAAGGAAGAGAGAGTACAGATGCACAGGATGTGTGTGTGTGTCTCCAAAGATAGGAAGGGAGAGATTCCTGTTGTGTCTGTCATGGAGGGAAGTGCATTGTAGGGACCCAGCCCTGTGGTTTGATAGTTAGGAGGTCACCAAAAATGCACGGGGGATAGGAAAGTGGCTCAGTGTGTAGTGTTGCTGGCCAAGCATAGGGACTTGGGTTTGAATCTCTGGCATCCATATAAAAAGCTGGGTGTAGTGACAGGAGGCCCCTGGGCTCTCAGGTCAGGTGGTGAGCTTCAGGTTCAGTCTCAGAAAATGAGGTAGGAACTGTGGAGGAACACACCCATGTTGACTTTTTACCTCTGTAAGGCACAGGCAGTGGAAAGCATGCACACATGCGTTTGCTGCACACACACACACACACACACACACACAGAGTCTATATGGGCCGTTAACCCCTGTAGGGCATCTGTGATCTTAAAGGTAAAGGACAAGTGCTAGTGAGGATGTGGGGGTATTGGCACATTTGCACATTGCTGGTGGGGACGTGAGATAGTGCACCCGCTTAGGAAGACAGACTGGCAGCCCCCAACGGGCTAAGCATAGAGTTACCATAGGACCCAGCAACCCCACCCTTAGGTGTATGTATAGAGAGAGACCATGAGAATTGAAAACAGTTGTCCGTAACAACACCAGCACCACCTTTAATAGGTTGCTATTATTCATGGTACCTCAAAGCAGGAGCAACTGAAGGGCCTGCCATCTGATGGCTAGATAAGTAAAATGAAACCAGTGCAATCACAAGACGTATTATTATATTGTAATAAACAGCAAGTGCTGAGATACTGATGCAGGCCACAGCGTGGACAAACTTTGAAAATGCTAAGCTAGTAGAATCCAGATGTGAAGACCATGTATGTTGTCAAGTCCCGTTTCTATGGAATGTCCAGACTAGGCAAAGCCCATAGAGACAGAGAGAAATAGGCTAAGAGTAGCAGTGGGTAGTGATTGCAGATGAGCCAGGGTTTCTTTTAAGAGGCCTTAAAATGTCCTAAAATTAGATAGTGGCGATGGCTGCATAATTCAATGAACATATTAAAAATTGTTCCATTGTCCACTTTAAAAAGATGAATTGTATGGCATGTGTAATAGGCCTCATTATTTCTGCTGCTATAAAAAGTGTGCTGAAGGTTACAGGAACTGGCTGCTCTCGCCAAAGACCCAGGTTTGGTTCCCAGCATCCACATGGAGGCTCACAACCATTCCTAACTTCAGTCCCAGGGAGTCCAATGATCTCTACAGACCTATGACTACACCAGGCATGCATGTGGTGCATATACATACATGCAGGCAAACACACATTAATAAACAATAATAAATAAATAACTCTTAAAAACAAAGCAAACAGAAGCCAGTGGTCATGACTCAGAAATATTAATGAAAAACAAGTGAATTGAGGACCGAGCCAAACTGATCCCAGTATTTGCTATTGGGTAAATTGTGGTCTTTGCTGAGCTCTTGGACCCTTGGATGTAGAATATCCCTTCACTCCCCACCATCCAGGGCTGCCTTGTCACATGTAGGATGTCTTCAAGAGTCGTTACAACAGGTGCATCCCACCCGGCATCTCTCAGAAATCCGTGGGTATTGGGTTGGTACCCGAATGGGTCCCACTCAGTTCCCTGTGTGACCCTCTCTTTATCTGTAGCTCTGCCAGGTGGGATGGGCATGGAAGAGGGGTAGACTTCGACTGGAGGCCATCAAGTCAGGGCCCCTGTTTGGTGGCCTTGGACCACCTCCATGAATTCAGATTGACCTTTATTGTAGGGACCAGAGGCTCAGGGGGGAGGGCAGAGGTGGCCACACTCTGTATTGGCTCCCACAGCCTGAACTCTGTGTAGGGTCAAGGGTGGACAAGGGCAGGGGCCTGGCTCCTAGGCCTCACTTCTCTTCATTCTCTGCCCCCTAGTGACAGTACCTCTAGCACTCCCAAAACCCCGGATGGTGGACACTCTTCTCAGGAGATAAAGTCCGAGACCTCGTCAAATCCCAGCTCTCCAGAAATCTGTCCCAACAAAGAAAAGTAAGAGACTTGGGGTTTGGGAAATGCTGGCTGTTGCCACTGGGAGTCCTGGCTTATATGCTCTGCCTCTAGGCAAGCTGAGAGAGACAGATCTTGTCTTTGGAAGTGTCTGAAACACAAAGACCACCAGGCAGAGGCTGGGGGAGCTGCTGTAGGCAAGCTCGATCCTCTGGCGGATTTGCCTCACTGCCAGTTGGCGTTGCTTCCGGTTCCCCATAGGCCCTTCATAAAGTTGAAGGAGAATGGCCGCGCCAACATCTCCCGTTCCTCCTCCAGCACCAGCAGCTTCAGCAGCACCGCAGGGGAGGGGGAGGCCATGGAGGAGTGCGACAGTGGGGTAAGTATGCCTCATTCAACCAAGGAGCCGCATTCTGGGCCCAGCTGGTTCTACTGTGCTCTAAGATACAAGGAGAAGGTGGCCGAGGCAGCTGTTACTCCAAATGAGAGCAGTGCATGGGGGGACTCTGTCTCAGCACAGCGCTTAAGGGCAGCCGTGGAGGTTGTCTGTGCCAAGGGTGCCGACTGGTCAGGGAAAGGCTGCTGTCACGGCTGAGGCAGAAGTGTGCAGCTGTGGGGGTGGAGGCAGTGGCTTGCGTGGTCCTTCTCAGGACAGCTGTGGGAACTGCTTGGGAGTACACTGGCCTTGCTCACCCAGTTTCTCCCCCCAGAGTAGCCAGCCATCCACAACTTCACCCTTCAAGCAGGAGGTGTTTGTCTACAGCCCGTCCCCGAGCAGCGAGAACCCCAGTCTGGGGGCTGCTGCTACCCCCATCATCATGAGCCGGAGTCCCACAGGTCAGTGGCATGAGAAGATGCGTATGACGGAGTTGGAAGGCAGAAACTATGCCCTGACTGCTATTCAAAGGGCATGCGCCCCAGGCGTGCCGAACTGGCCAACTTCTGCTTTTCCTAGACCGTAGGGCCTGCCTTCACCTCTACTAGCTTACTCTGTCTACCGTAAAAAGCTCATATTCTTATCTTCTTATAGATGGGGAAACTGAGGCTTAGAGAACTGAATGATTTCATGATGATTCCATGGTGGAGGAGTTAGGATTGAGTGGTTAGAAAGCTGAACAGAATCGGCTCACCTCTGGCCCTACCCTGTCACCACCCAGGGCCAGCGCCACAGCAGCGAATGCTGCGCACCTGGCAGTAAGAGGAAGCAGTGGAGGAGGCTGGAGGAAGGCAAGACTGTGTCCAGGAGTGTGTGAGGTTCAGTGCAGTGCGGGGTCATGGGGACGTGAGAGAGGATAGACGCTATGGGGACCATGAGTGGGCTGCCAGGAGGCCTGGTGAAGATTCAGGTGGTGTTGGTAAAAGCCACTGAAGGTTCTGGAAGTGCCACCTGGCATTGAGAAAGACCATTTGGCAGCTGCATGCTGAGTATAGCCAGGACTGGTGGGGGCTGGGGAAGAGGCACCAGTAGAGGCACAGTGGGCACCTAGGGGAGTCAGGGCCATGGCAGAGCATGTTGGGATGTAGAATTTAGTTATTGGTAGTGAGGACTTAGAGAGAGTGGCGGCCTGTGTCTTTCCAGTTTCTAAGACCCCTACAGTTGAGCAGAGTAGGAAGAACCAGGTTGGAGGAAAAGGAAAAGGGGTCATCCCTCAGGGTTCACCAAGTACCGAGTGTGAGAGATGATTTTCTACCCAGGTGGGTACTGTGGGGAGGGGTTAGCAAGTCTCAGGAGAAGGTATTTGTAGGCAAGCAGTGTCAGGCTGTGAACATCCAGGAAGAGGAAGGGCAGTGGGTAGGTTTTGCACATACTGGCCAATCATTTGTAAACACTCCTACTTGCGCACACTGTCAACATCCACACTCTGGTGTGCTTTACCGTCTCTCTGAGCCTCACCATGGTAGGAGGGGAATCTTTGGCATTGCCATGGGCCCGAGGCTGTGTCTGCATCAACAATAGATGCTCACTCAGGGCTTCATCTGTGGTTTATACATTCACTCAGGACTTCTCAGCCCCCTGCAAAGATTTGATGAGCATACTTCGTAAAAAATCACACAGCTATTAACTTAACTGTGTGTTGTGGGACTGCAATAAAGCAGTGTGACCAGCCAGGTCTCAGCTAGGGGTAATCTTACTCCCCATGGGACTTTGGCAGTATCTACAGTTACTTTGGGTTTTCACAGTAGCTGGGTGGGAGTGGTATTCTCCTGGTATCACTGGGTAGAGAGCAAACAGTGTCAAAAGGAGGATGTAGTGAGATAGGGGACACCCGGGTGAAAGCAAAGGGCCCTTTGCGGCAGGCTTCCTAGTTAATCGAGTCCGCAGCTTCCTTTCATTCAGCTCTGTGGTCATGCAGATCTCAAGAGGGACCCTAACCCCAGCTTTAGCACTGGCAACTGGCAAGCTGACCTCCTGACCCTCAGTTTACCCATTTGTAAAATGGAGCAGTCAGACACATTTCCTGATGTTTTTAAAACTTAGTTAAAAATTAATGGAGTGAACAAGACAATCTATCACCAAACTGTGTCCCTTTTGGCACCAAATAAATACCAAAAGAAATGAATGCCAGCCTGTTCTCCCAGACAGGGTTTGAGCAGAAGGAGGCTATGGGAACGTCTGTAACTGGGTTAAGGTCACTCAGGGCAGGAAGAAATGTGGAACAGGTGTGGAATCAATCTTCCCCAATGCCGACTACACCCCAGGAGGTGCACCCCAGGCTGTATTATTCTGATAATCTGCTTTTGACCCCTAACTCCAGCACTGGGTGGGCTTGGAAGTCTGGAAATTTGTTTCTGGAGGCTCCAGTGAGTGTGGGGGAAAGACTGAGAGGAAGATGGCCTGAGAGTCTTCTGGAATCGCAGATGCTGTCATCGGCCATTCATACTTGGGCTTCTGGGGACAACAAGGGAATCATGAGGATCACTCAGGGAGGGTCTCATAGCGTGCATCTGTACATGTATGTGCATGTACTTGTGTGTGTATACATGTGTGTGTATGTGCGTGCACATATGCAAACACACATTATAATGGATGCAGTAAACTTTACCAGTATGATGGATCTGAGACATAGTTTGCAAATAATGGCAAAATATACCACATGCTTTATTAAGGGTCTGATGCTCCATAAGATTCTAACAGGACAGTTTCGCTGGTACTTACCTAACTCTGGTATCTGTAGCCAGTTTAAGGCAGCAGATGACAGTCAAACCTGGTTCCCATGTGGGCGTTGATGGATATTATTGCCTATGTTGACATTTTACATTAGGAAGACCGCATTCATTTCGTCAGTGGTACAGATAGCCTTTCTCTTGAATCTGGTAGTTCTTCTCAGACGCTGGGGGTATGGTGACTCCTTTGTTACTCTTCACAGTGTAGTGGCTGCAGGCACCACCCTTTCCAGCCTTAGTTCATGTATCATTATTTTCCACTGGCTTCTTACATCTAGACAGAAAAACTGTAAGCCAAGCCCCAGTTTGTCATTGCCAACTTCAGTGGTCTTCATACGCTCATCAAGATTGCTCTCAGGCTCCCACCGAGGCGTCCCGTGGGGTTGACGAGAGATGCAGAGCCTACCACCACTAGAGCACAGTGGCTGTGAGGGACAGACTACAGCGAAACATGGCAATATAATGAGGAAGTGGCAAAATTTGAGTATCCGTCATCTTCCGCGAATACGGCCTGCTTACTTAGAGACTTCCATAGTTTAATTTTGAAGATATTTAAAGTGACCCGTGTTTGGTAACTAGGGCACACTGTTTCTCCGAGTCTGAGTGCTATGGTGAGGGGTACCTGTGAGTGAGCAGGTCCACGTTCCCCAGCCTCCCTACTCACTATTCTGATTTTGCTAGAATAATTCCTTAAGCTCCTGTCCTTTCTCTTTTCTCAGATGCCAAAAACAGAAACTCCCCGAGGTCAAACCTGAAATTCCGCTTTGATAAACTCAGCCATGCTAGCTCCAGTGCGGTAAGGATGGTGCGGGCAGCCAGGGAAGGGCCCCTGTGAGCCCCACACCCCACATTCCAGGACCCCCATAGCCAGTCATTGTAGCAGCCGTCTGGAGAGAGCATCTCAGAGAGTGCTCATTGGGCTCCCTGAGGCAGGTGGGGAAGGAGGCTCCACCAGACCTGGGGGTGATGGTTTCTCTTCTTACCTGGTACAGACACCAGGCTGGGGACTCACCAGCCGCCACCTTTGTCACTCCTCCTGTAATAGGGCCACGACCTTGCGCACAGCCGCGCCCAGGTGTGAGGTGGGTTCTGCTGGCCCTGGGAGCCCAAGTCCCTTCCAGAGCTCAGATGGTTGAGTGCTCAGAAGCTGCAGGTGGGGGTGATTGATTCTTGTGTGTTTCTTAAACAGGGTCACTAAGGGGAGAGCAGAGTCCTTTCCCTGTCCAAGGTGAGTGTCTCACAGTGGCTCTGAGAGGGGACTGTCCCCTTACAAACACAGCATCTGTGACTTTATGGCCCCAGAATGGCCAGAGAGATTGTCAGCAGAAGGTTACTGAGAACTGCTGTTGATGGACATCTCCAGGCCTTCTAGGGAGGACTGAGAACAGGGCCTGGGAAGGCTGTGCAGTGGCATTGGGACAGATTCCCAGGCTGGATAGAGCTGGCTGTAGTAGCTAGAAGGGGAAGTAGCCGAAAGGTCACTTCCTCACCTGGAGGGAGGAATTCCTCAGTTTACCACTTGCTTTCCTGTTTGCAGGCAATCTGTCTCTCTTTGTATTTTTGGCCAAGGTTCCAGGCTGGTATATATCTTCCCCATATGGCATGAGATGCCCCTACCCAACCATTGCTGTGAGGGATACCTTTAAAGTGGTCTCTGCTCCTGGCATGATACGCTAGTGGAATCCTGATAGTGAAGTCACCTGAGACCCATTGTAACCCCCACCGTTATGGATCTCAGGAGTATGAGTGAATTGGAACCAAGGGGGGGGGCACAATGGAGACCACTTTGTGTTAAGCCTGTTCGTGAGAAAATAGAAGAGAAAATGGGAGTGTGGTGTTGGCCTCCACCATCTGTGATGTTCGGATGCTTATGTAGAACAGAGATTACACATGGCCCCTGGAGCTAAATCCCCTTTGTATTGGCATCCTCCTTGTATAGCCATGGGCAAGCAGGCTCCCCATTCTGACTCCAGCCTCTTGTCTCCCCTCTTTTACCCAGAGCTTGTTCTGCGTCTCCCCTTCCTTATCTCCACAGGGAAGTCTTGATTCTGGCCTGCAGAAGGCTCCTATTCCAGCCGTTTGGGAGTGCCGTCTACTACTCTGACCGTTCAGGTTGCTGTCTCACTGGCCACCTGCCCAGCAGACCAGCTGTCTGTTCCATGTCCTGACCTGGCCATGATCTTGCTGGCTCCTTCTCTAACAGACCTGAAAGCCCCAACCTCGACTCCTGACCTCCTGATGTGATCAGTTATCTGAGTCAACTGTCAACTTGTTTTACCTGCTGGAAAAGAGTTGGACATGGGGGAGTCTGGGTCCCAGGGGGCTCAGCGAGAGGCTGGGGAGCTCGTCTCCCAGAGACAGAGGGGGTTGGGTGGTGGGGAGCAGAGGTGGCTGCAGAGTGGTTTGTGGGTGCTGTCTGTCTTGGGTACAGTGCCTTCCTGGACATGGTGGAAGGGCTGCTTTCCCAGGAATTTCCCAGCGCCCTCCGGGTTGTATCTTACGGCTCCTGTGATAGGCATTTCTGACACATCTGCTGGCCCAGGCCTAGGGACCTCTGTTCCTGCTGCTAGGCTGCCCTTAGGGAGGGCTCAGGCTGGTGGAAGCTCAGAGTCAGAGCTGGGTGTGTGCGGGCCCTGGCTGCATGCTTCTCTGACCGTAGTCGCAAGGTGTTTTTCCTTTCTAATTTTACACAAGCGCTGCTGACCATCCTTGTGGGGAGAGAAGCCCCAGCAGCTTTTTCTCCTTGGAGCAGATAGTTTTCCTCCAAAGGAGCGGGTAGCAAGGAGTGTGAGGAAGCCTAGAGATCACATGGCCAGCGCAGGGAGGTGAGGAAAGCTTCTGGATGGTCAGGCTCACCTGGGATCCAGCTCTCCACTTTTGTGGGACCCCAGAAAAGACATAGTTCAAGCCATCTCTTAGGTGAGAGAGATGGGCAAGATGCAGTTGGGGGCGGGGTGACTTGACAAGTTTTAGTCAGGCTGGTGTGTGGCAGTTGAACTTAGTTTTGGAAATAGTATGGTGTCCCTCTACCTCTGCTCCCGGCATCTGTGAGGGGCTCAGTCCTACTTAGGGGCTGCTTCTTGGCTCAGTTCCCAGTCTCCAATTGCAGGGTTCCAGGCAGTTGTCCCCTCGGCAGGGCTCCTGGAAGCCAGACCCCATGAGCCCGCGCTTTTTACACCACAGATCGTCTGCACTCCTTGCTGTGGCCACCTTCTCTGGGTGAGCCCGCTCATCCAGACGAGTTCCCCTTGGCTCCCCAGCCTTCCAGGTTTGCATGGCGGTTCAGCTGCTGGGTGGAGCACCTGCCAGTTTAAACACTGGGTCCAAACAACAGGCACTTGAAGATCCTGCCCCATTAAGTACACACAGGTCTCTGGCACAGGGCTCCTGCTTAAGTGAGCTGATGACTAGATTTCCCACCAAGGGCTTTGCCTGCCTAGGCTTCTATTCCCAAGCTAAAGTACAGAGGGTGACCCAGCCTTTGGGGCTGGTATTGTAACTATGTCCCCACGACTTTTGTCACCCGAGCACAGTTTTCATCCTTCATCCCTAACACACTTACTGCAGCCAGGGAGGGATACCGCTCCCTACTTCCACTTGGGAAACTTGCTTACGTGAAATACTAGTCTGGTAAGATCTGCTCTAGTTAGAAGGTCAAGAAACTATCTGTTTAGCTTTTATAAAAGCCAGAACAGTGGCATCCACTGCAGGGAAGAGGCGGGTGGATTCTGGCAGTGTTCTGCTGGCAGGTTTCTGCTTGAACTTGAAAGGTCAAACTGTGTTTTCTTTGAAACTATTGCAGGACTCTGGCGCCCTCCTCTAGGTAGGACAGGTCTACCTTTGCTCCGTGGTTGTGCTATGTCGCATTTTGGTCTGGGTCCTCAGGATCTTCCAGGCTGTCCCACACTGTTATAGCTGGGAACCTGTTAAGTCTTGTCCCTACTGCTTTGGCTATTTCTCTGCAGGCATTACCTCTAGGCCAGGTGTTGGCTCTGCCTCTGGGCCAGTGGACAGGATGGATGACTGTGTACAGAGGAGCTGGGAGGCCCTGGGCTGAGATCTTCACCCTTGGCTTGCTGATAGGTACTCTGGGCAGGACCTGAGATGCCCCTGCCCTCTGGCCAGGCCTCTCTCTATCTAGCAGATCCATCCTGTGGCTTCCCGCGTGTGTATCACCAGCCCAAACGGAGATTTTTGCCAAGCAGGAGAGTAATGGCAGGACCCAACCTTCTCTAAGCTCTCTCTGGATTGGAGGCTGCTCCTCCTGCACTCTGATCCAATTTTCCCTTTGGGGCTGTTCCCAGTCTTAGGGCTTAGAGTCTTGCTGAAGCGCCTTCATGTAACTGGGCTTGATGCTTCTGCTTGTATTTGGAGACATTTCCACAGTTACCCCCACAAGGGGTTCTCCTGGCCACAACTCTAGCTCAGGGGACTGCCTGACTCACTGAAGGAGCTATATCTTGCAGGTGTTAATAGGCACCCAGATACCTGGAGCTCTGTTGATACATCAAAACAGATGTGGGAGGGCTCCATAGAGAACGCCTTTGCCAGAGTTTCTGTCCGGTATTAAGCATGTCAAATGGCGCTTCTTGGAAAATAACCCGTGGTTCAGTTTTGTGGGCACCCTTTGATACTCAAGCATTCTCATCCTTCTGAGCAGAAAGAACTTGCCCGAGGCCATACAGCCACCTAGTGGGCAAAACTGTTACTGCACCCACAGTCCCGGGCCCTTTCCTGTTGCACCAATTGTACTTACTTTTGGTGGGGTGGAGTAAACGGTTGCATTTCCTGGACTTGGGTCTGGGGAAAGTCTGTTAGCTGGAGTTTCTGCACTGGCAGGGAGATGCCGGGGTTGGAAGATGCTGATAGGGCCTCAGCCGTGGTTGGGTGTCATCATGAGAAATCTTGGTCAGGGAGGAGCTTGAGTGAAGGAAACCGAGGGGAAGGAACCCAGCAAAGTGCTGCTTGGGTCTTGAGTGACAGGGACAAAGTGACCCAGAGAAAGATGCATCAGCTACCGTTGGCTTCCTTGTTCTAAATCAGGACAGAAAGTGGTAAGAAGAACTAATTCTCCCATCTCTCTTCTCTTCCTCCCACTTTCCATTTCTTCCTTCCTCTCTCTGGTGGTGCTGGGAACCCAAGGCCTTGCTCACACTGAGTGAGTACCCTGCCCCTGAGCTATGCCCTAGGCCTCTCCAGTTCTGAAGCCGGGGATGGATAATAAAATCCCAGATCAGGTGACTAGGCGGGACACAGGCAGTTTCATTTTCTTTCCTTTGACCCTTTAAGGTGCCAACTCAAACATTACCTTTTGTCCATTGTTCTTAGTCTGCAAAGACAGCTGTGTTGTAGGGGAGTGTCTGGGGTTCAGATAGAGCTTTTGACTTCTGGGCCAACAGGGACCAGGTTAGTCAACCATGCTCTGGGCCCCCACGCTCCTTCTCTAGCTTCTTACCCCTCAATCAAAGGCAAGGGCAAGTTGGTACAGTAAACAAGGCCATTCCTACCACTTGGAGGCAGCCTACCAAGCTCTGCTGTCTGTTTCACCATTAGCCCCTTGCCCACACCAACCCCATGTCTCTTCAGCTGGGCTATGTGCTCCCTTGGGAGAAAGACAACTCCCCCCCAGAGCCAAGGGCAATCTTCCTAGAGAGCAGCAGCTGGGGAGGTGGCTTTGGCCTGGGCTTTACCATCCCTGGGGAGGCTGTGCCTGGCTGGAAGCCTGGAGTTAGTCGCCATTGTCTTTGGTTTTGTGACATTTCCTCTCAGAAGGCTGAAATTCCCCTTCTTGCTCCTTAGCGTGTTTGCCAACTCTTCCTCCTCATGATGTCACCTTGACCTCCAGCTCCCAGGGTGCCAGTGTCTCCACGTGAGGAGATGTCTGTGTGGTAGAACCCATGAGGTGTAGTCTGGAAGTGAACCCCGTGACGATGACTTCCCTCTGCCTCCTCCCAGCGAGGAGGTGATTTGTAGATCCCGACTGCCTCTGTAATGTAAATAGTGTACATTTAATTTATTGCTATGGTAGCACATTGTATTTGTTAATGTATAAAACAAATTCTAAAAGGTTGACAAATGTATATTTTGTTGCTTAAATGTGTCTTTGCAGAAATTGACAATAAATAATAACATATTTTGTGTCCATCAGAGTTCATGTTTCTTCAAGTGGGGCACCCGACTTCAGCAGGGCCTCCCATTGGAGGTTGGGCATTAGCTGGCTTGAGCCTGCTTCAGGATTTTTGAACATGCCATCATGTGATGAACAAGCAAATCGGTGAACCTGGTGCTGGGAAATAGTTTGTTGGGTAAGATTGCTTGCTCTGCAAGTACGAGGATCTGAGTTTGAATCTCCAGCACCCACAAAAAGCTGTGCATGACTGCACATGCCTGTGGCCCTGCATGGGGGAGGGGCAGAAACAGGCAGGCATGGAGACCTTGTTTGTCAGTCAAAGGAAAAAGACAAGCTTCCTGCTGAGTGAGAGACCCTGTCTCTAGGCGGTGAGGCCAGGAGCGAGGGGGGAGGATAGATCATGTCCTGCTCTGGATTTTGAATGTACAGGAGTACAAGCCTGCATACTCACATGTGTGTACCACACGCACGTGCAACACATATGCATGCACACGTGTATACACACACACACACTTACACACTTTGTTTCTCATTTTGAAAAATATCAGACTGGATCTGCTCGGCATGGACTGGCGAGAGCCGGCTGGAACTCCTTTTGGTGGGACCTGAGTCTACCATCGTCCCCCCTTCTTCTTATTGTTCACCCCAGTCAGTCTTGCTATCTGTTTAGTCTCTGTAGTCTCGAGATGAGACCCCTGTTACCTAATGACTCGTCTCTTACCTGCAAGTTTCCTCTTCAGCATCTGGGTTCCAGGATTCTCCTGTGACTAAATGTCTTTCTTATTTTCCTCCGACTCACAAATGGCCGCACTCACCTATGTGCTTTGCTTGACAGCTTGGGCGTGGACTTGAAGGCAAGAGGCAGGATTTAATCCCTGTCAGGGGCTTGCTTTGTGATCCTGGGCTAGTCATTCAGTATCCTGGGGCCTGAATTTTCTTTTGTGTGCTATCAGAAATATAACCCCTGTGGAAAGCATGAGGATAAAAATGAACTTATTGAGGAAAAGCTTTGAAAAGTTTTGTTTAGTCTCAGAGCGTCAATAATAACGATAATCCTAATAGCAACAGCTGCTGTTCACCTAGGTAGCCAGTTTGCTAACATGACTTTCTAGTCCCTAAAAATACACCATGGGAAACCATGCAACCATGGGGCTGATGGGGAAGACGGCTAGGTGCATGACACTCAAATACACTATTTGTGACAAGAATGAAGACATATAAGCTTAATAAAACTGGTAATTTATGCAGGCCAATGCTTAAATGCACACTACACGACTAACGTATATCAGCCTCAAACAGGGCTGAAGTTTGCTTGTGGAGGCAAGCATTGGAAGGCTTGCCACTCACGAATTGTGAGACGGTAGGGGAGCCATAGTCTGAAGCTAGATGAACGGATGGGGTCCAGAGCACGCAGGCTGCACAGAGACAGCTGGCAGATGTTTGGGTATGTCGTGCGTTTTTATATGTGTGTCCTACGCATCCTGATTTAGCTGGGTGCAGTTGCCTGTATGCCTCTCACATTTCTCATGGACAAAAATGCAAAAGCAGAGGTCCAAGCTGTCTTAGACTGATGTTATCCCCATCATATCAACTGCATGGGACCAAGTTTACATTTTAAAGACAAGTCTTAGGGCAGAATTGATTCTAATCTCATTTAGTTCCCTTAAAAAGCCATTGAGACTGGTGATATTTCCTATTCCATGTAAGGGGTCAGAATCGCATCTCATTATAGGACCCAAGTCTGAAGGGCTGACAACAACACTGGAGCACCGGATACACAGGGGGACAGCCAGTATTCTGGATGTCCCTGTAATTGGCTTCCATGTCCCATGTGGAGCCCCATGCCTGCAGTCTCCTGGACTGGGGGCTGCAGCCCATGCTAGGCAGTGCCTCCTCTCCGACAGTGGTTGCAGGCTTCCTCTTCTTTCACACAGCATCTGATGCCTCTCTGCACCTCATGGTTCGGGTACTTCTTGGGCTCAACTCCTCTCCCTGGAAACAGGATAGGGAGGTCACTTCAGAGGGAATCTTGCGGGAGCTGAATTATCTCCTGTGTAGAAAGTGTGTACAAGGCGTGGATGTCATAAACCTGTACCAATTACTGTCCCTTCAGATTTCCGGGCCCTGCTGGAGCTCTGGCGTCCAGCTGTTACTCTAAATGCCTGCTCCTTTTCATTCTCTTTCAGCAGGTGGGCACACCTAACACCTCAGAGGCTTAGTTCTTAGGATTCTTGAAACCTGTCACCCCCACCCATCAGGTCTGATAGCTCGGAGCATTCTTGGACATCTTGGGGTCCATTATTTTGCCTGTACACTGATACTATTATTGGACCCCACTATGCAGCAGGTGGAGGAGGGCTTAGTGGGGTCCAATAATAGTATCAGTGTCCAGTTATATGACGCCGTAGTAACAAATTAAAACAACCCCATTTCAGTTTAGATTCAAAGCTTGTTTAAAAACTAACATTCAGTTCAAAGTTCATCTCACCAACCCTTTGGTGGAGGCTGGCATCATGGGACAGTTGTCTTGCCTCCGGTTGTGTGGTCTCTGATAACCAAATGTTTCCCCTGCTCTTCTGAGCCCACTTTCTGACTAGGCCTCATCCAAATCAAAACTAAATCTAAACCAGTTAAAGATTCCTGCCCTCAGCATCCATTAAGGGCACTTTCAGTCTTGACACCTAATCAGTTCCTCTTGGTAATTTTCCACCTGAGAAAATTACCCACCTTAAAACTTGGCTACAAATTCCCACTGGTCTCTCTCATGTTTGCTGTTGGGTTCAACTTCATTTCCTTATTGCAACAGTTTTGAACAAAGTCTCCTTTGTTTGATGGGTGCAATTTTTCTTTGCTTAGGGGCTGGTCAGCCCTCCCACTAATGTCCTTCTCTAGATAGCAAGACAGGAATGCTGCATTTATTAGGGAAGAGGCCCGTGAGGCAGGATGGGGCAGGAGCTGGTGAAGGTTGGACAGGTGTCGTGTGACGCATAAAGGAGAGAGGGAGGGGGTTGAGGGTGAGACAGAAGTGGCCAGAACAGCCGCCATTGGACAGTGAGCTTCTACAAGGACATCTTCAAGGCCATCTGGGGAGTCACCAGTCAAGTTGTCCGCTATAGGAGCCCCGCATATTGAAGAATGAGCCTGTTCGGACTGAAATCTCAAGGTCCAAATCAGGAGCAGAAGGAGAGAGAGCTCGAGCAAGGAACTCAGGACAGCGAGGGGTGCACCCACACACTGAGACAATGGGGATGTTCTATTGGGAACTCACCAAGGCCAGCTGGCCTGGGTCTGAAAAAGCCTGGGTTAAAACAGGTCTCGCTGAACATAGAGGACAATGAGGACTACTGAGACCTCAAGAACAATGGCAATGGGTTTTTGATCCTACTGCACCTATTGGCTTTGTGGGAGCCTAGGCAGCTTGGATGCTCACCTTACTAGACCTGGATGGAGGTGGGTGGTCCTTGGACTTCCCACAGGGCAGGGAACCCTGATTGCTCTTTGGGCTGACGAGGGAGGGGGACTTGATTGGGGAAGGGGGAGGGAAAGGGGAGGCGGCGGTAGGGAAGAGACAGAAATCGTTAATAAATAAAAAATAAATAAATAAAAAAAGAATGAGCCTGTAATTACCACCCGACATGAAAACAGACCCTGGGTGGGAACAGCTGTGGGAAGGCTGGCTACAATGCCACACAAATCCAAGACTCAAGGTCTCTTGGGCTGATGCCATAGGTCTAGTCCTGATCTGAAGACCCAAGAACCAGGAGAACTGATGTTCAAGGACAGGCAAAGACTGATGTTGGCCAGCTGGAGCAGAGAACATTGGCCTTCCTCTACCTTGGTTTTTCCAGGCCCTTCCTGGATTGTAAGATTCCCATTTCCATGGTGAGCATGCTGGTTATTCAGTCTACAGTTTCAAATCAGTGGATTCTGTATGCCCTTCATAGATAGAAACATCCAAAATGAGGGTTTTATATGATTTCTGGGTGTTCCTCAGCCCAGTCATGTTGACCTGTTCCTAGCTCTGTGTGTGTGTGTGTGTGTGTGTGTGTGTGTGAGAGAGAGAGAGAGAGAGAGAGAGAGAGAGAGAGAGAGAGAGAGAAAGAGGTGGGTTACTGCTTTTATTGCTCGTCCTGCTGGCTCATTTCTGCACAGTTTTTGAGGCTCTGCCTATATCCAGTGAGTCCAGGAATCCTCTGGATTTTAAGTGTGGGATTGGTGAGCCATCGTCCATTCCAGAATCTTCTCCTGGCCATCTAACGGTGCATGTTTGCTCCCATGGCAGAGGCTCCTTATGGGAGCCGGAGGAAGGTTCCTGAGAGGAAATCTGAGACCCATCCGTCACCCCAGGGCAGTGATCTAAGAGGCAGGACTTTCTGTCCACTTTCCTTAGGTGCAAATGACACCCAAAGCTTCAGGCTGTGTGGACACCTTATAGAAGACGCTTTTCAACTTTAGGCCACCCTCTTCCCCTCAGAACAGAGGCTGTGCCAGGCATAACACTGCACAGGGAAACATTCTCCGGCCGCTCAGCCTTGGGCTGCATAAAAATTAACCAAAAAAAAAAAGTTTTAAAAATACTGATTTCAGGTATTGTTTGAGATATTTCAACTCAGTTGCTCTGGGGGTAAGGCTCAGGAATCCTCACATTTTGAAGGGGGGAGGCTGGGACAAGGTCTCACTATGCAGCAACGGTTGACTTAGAACTTGCTATGTTCTAAGTGATAAGGTTAGCCTTGAAGTTTAGAGATTCACCTGTTTCTGCCTCCCAAGGGCTGGGGTTAAAGGTATATACCACGATTCTCCTTAGGGTGTGCATTTTTAGATGAGCACGTGCAGAATTCGGATGTAGTCCGATGCTTTGGGAACCATGGGTTCAACTGACAAAGTCTATGTTTGAAATCTCTTTCCAGTGGTGCAGTCTCAGGCTCAGAGGTCTATCCCCCACCTACATGGAAGACAGAATTCTGTCCCCCAACTTAGAAGGGGAAGAGGAAACCTGTCTCCCACCTAGGGG